ACATTACCTAATGGTTCCTTCATCAGAAATCATCATTCTCATCTTCGTCTTTTTTTCTTAACTTTAATTTCTCAGAGCTTTTCATCTTCATCTTCATCATCCTCTCTCTTTCTATCTTAATGATCATCTTTCAAACTGAAATTAATTATATCTCAAAAAGCAGCATAAGATTTGTTACCATTTGAAAAGGGCAAATATAATAAGTATTATAAGGTAACATATAAAACGGGATCAAATGATTGATTTTACCTTAGAACGGCCTGAAGCGGTTCTAAGACGTCCTAAGGAAAAAGTTATGACTTTAAGGCAAGTCAAGTGTTTTTTTCTTCTTCTCTTCTTAATTTTCTCTTCAATATCTTCTTAAGATTCTGTTCATCATCATTATCATCATCAACGGCATCAACATCATCATCTCTCTCTCTCTCTCTCTCTCTCTCTGATAACCATTACATGTCCCAGGCTGCATCAATCGGATTACGAGAAACTAAATATCTCTCTCTCTCTCTCTCTCTCTCTCTCTCTCTCTCTCTCTCTCTCTCTTGATAGTTAATGAGAGAAAGAGAGAAAGAAAGAGATAAAATTGATTCACATAAATAATATTATTTGCAATCATAATCATCGTTAATAGTTAGTTGGTTGATTAGTTGATTATATGCATTGATTGTTGCGAACATGCAACAAGTTTGAGTTTTTCAATTTTTTTTCTCTCAAATGTTTGAAAAAACTTTTCCTTGGTAATTTGTTGTTGACCGTTGACAATTTTTCTGATTACAATTTTGATCTGTAACTTTGATTATCAAGTCCAATAGTTTCAATAATTATGCTAATTGTTGGTTGATTGTGTGTGTATGTGAGTGTGTAAATTTGTCTATCAACTGTCATGTTAATTTGCTCTTGCTCATTGTAATCGTCGCTGATTGTTGGTCGATCATTAATTGTGTTACTTTACTTTGTTATGGTAAAAAGAAAAGTAAAAAAATTTTCCTCTCATTGTAACAATTTATAAATTCACTTTGATTAGATTAAATTAAAAGTTAAATATAATTTGTTCTGATTTAACCTTCCAACTATTCAAATTGTTATTAGTTAACTTTACAGCCACTTTACTATTGATTGGTCAAACTAAATTAACTCTTTATACATCAATCTCATCAGAATCAACATAAGGTTAATTGTTAATCAAGAAATGCAATTAAATCCTATTGAGATTTGATTAATAACACAATGCAATTAAATTGCAATAACCTTAATCATTGGAAAGTTTAAAAAAAGGTTCAGTTTAAAAAAAATGATCAAAAAAATCAGAAAAGGTTAACCAACAATTAACATTTTAATATAATAATCAGGTATATATATTATGTATTAGCAAACAATTAAGGTGTAACTATTAAATAACAGCAACAAAAATCAATAATAATAATAAATTGAAACCCAATCAAGTGATTGTAATTACAGAAATGATTAAGATTAATCAGAAACAATCAGAGGTATTGAAAGAAATGAACTTTTTTCGTTGAGCCAAAATTTAACTTGATTGAAACAAAAGCTTTTCATCAATTTAATCATAACCTTGGCAATTTAATTGAAATCAAATCAACAACAATAACAACATGAAGGTATTAAAGCAAATTAACAATTACAATCAAGAAAAAAAGTTAAATACTTTCACCACCTAAAGTATTGAGCCAATTTCTAGGATATAACAATATGACAAAGGTAATTTGAAGATTGACTTTTTTTCTTGTGGTTTTATCATCATCATCATCATTGGATTATGATGAATGTGATGATGATGGAGAGGATGATGATGATGATGATGATGATGATGATGATAAAGAAGATATTAACAAAGGCCTTTGTAAGAAAAGGTTACAATCAAAACGCAATCGTAACACAATGGAAACCATAATAAGAGAGAAACTTTTCTATGGAAAGACTTTTCCTTTTCTCCATGACCAATGGTCAGTACTGTTTATTATCATCAAAATTTACAGTAAATTGTAAATCGTTTTATCTTCATCTTCATCCTAATCATCATCATCATCTTAATCATTATCATTTGTTAACAATGATTGTAAGATGCACTCAACACAATTGCATATCCATGAATATTGGTAAAGCTTAAATTGCCTACACATTGAAATTCAATTGCAATTCAATTGTAATTGTAAAAGTTATTTCTTTGTCTTTTTTTACTTAACTGCTTATTGTTTGATAATTTAACATAAACTAAACAACAATCAACTAAATATTAACAAACCAATGTAAATAAGGTGTAAGAGTCACTGACTTTTCATCCTCATCTTCAGGTAAATGTTATTATACCTTTAATGTTTAATCATCATTATAATCATCATCATCAAGGGTTAGAGGTAATCAGAAAATCAGCAAGATAATCATGATTAAGAAAATGAATTATAATCTAACAATAGATTAACCAAGAAAATGGAAAAATATGAAAAACAATTAACTTACTTGTTAGAGTAAAATCAGTTTAATTGTTGGTCCAATTGATCGTAAATTGATTCTATTTAAATTCACAATTGCAATGTAATCATTCATGCTGTTTAAATGGAACTTGATTGTAATAATAAAAATACAAATTAAGATTCTGTCTATAATTGTTAGTTATAACCGTTGTTGTTAATTGTGATTGTTAATCATAATATTGATAATACATGTAATATTTAAATTGAATAGATTTACCTGAATAACTGTCAACTACCTGTGAATGTTTTTCATCATCATCATCATCATCTTATGTTTACATTAACTATTAGCTAACAATTGAATAAACTTTATGATTACAATGTAATTATACAAATCTTATTGCATTTCTTTCATTGTTGTTTAACATTAATTGCAATTGATTTATTGATAATTAAAGTGCAAAATCATAATCAACTCTCAAGTTTCTTCCTCTTTGTTAATTGATGATCAAATATTCACAATAAATTGTAATGTCTTTTCATTGATTAATATCACCAACTGATCATCATTCATTGTCCTCATCTTCATCTTCATCTTCATCTTCATCTTAACCAATAATGATGATAGATTTTCATTAACTTATTGGAACTTATTGATTTGATTCTCGTAGATTCTTTGTAATTGTTGATACCAATTGTAAATTAGATTTGATTTTACAAATTATCAACCATTAATGATGATGATTAGGATGATGTAAGTGTAAGGGGTTTATTATATTTATGATATTTTTTTTCTGCACGCAAAAAGTTTGATGATTTTTTGTTTTCTTCTTAATTTTTTGGTAAGGAAATTGAAAAATAGAAGATTAATGTTTCAGAATCACCTGAGGCCATTTATATATGTTCATGATGATGATAATGAGACTGAGAGGAAGATGATGTTTGTGTGTGTGTTTTTTTTTCGTGTAATTTCAAATTAAATGGAAAGAGATTAGATTTGATTGTTTGTTTGAATTTGATGAGAGAAATGATGTTAATGGTGATTAAAAGATTCACAAGAAATCAAATCAATTATCATCTAATTTACTACGTTGAGTTTAATCAATGTTAATGATGAAGATGATGGGGGTGATATTGATCAACCTGTTGGATGAAAAAAGAGTAAAGATGATTAAGGATCAAGTGGATGAAGATGATTAGAATGATAGAGAAAGAGAGAGAGAAACAAAATGGAATAATAATAATTTGAATAGAGAAGAAAAAATTCTGATGAAGATGAAATTTCTTTTGTGTTGTCGTTGTTCCTGTTTGTTGATGAAGATGATGAAAAGTTTTTCTTTTTTTTCTCTCTCTCTCACCTTCATTGAAGAAAAAAAAATGTATTAGACAACCCGAGACCAGAACCAGGGGGTTGGGAAGATAAAAAGATGATGAAAGTGAATATAAGAAAAAAGAAGCTCAGGTTGGCGAAAGAACCAGAAAATTAAAGGGACTCTCAGGTTTTCACCTCAGGCAAAAGAAGAAGAAGATAAATAGACAGGTAAATAGAAAGAGAAGAAGAAATTTTGGTAGAGAGAATAAGAGAGAAAGAGAGAAACAAAGAGGGAAGGAGAAAGTTCCAAGACAAAGAAGACGAAGAAGAAGAAGATGATGATGATGATGAAGAAGGTTCTTCAGGTCTTTCTTTTTCTCTTCTTTACCTGTTGAAGAAAAAAAAAGAGACAGAGTAACAACGATAAGATGAGAATAAGAAATGCGAATGAGTGATGATGATGATAGAAAAAAAAGAGAGAGAAAAAGAAAGTACCTTAGAGGTTGGATCTTTGGTCGAAGAGAGAGAAAAAAAGAAAGAGAAGATGTTCATGCGCTTTCTTAATAAGAAAATCTCTTAAGAAAATGAAAGATGATAAACGAAAGAGAAAGAAAGAGAAAAAGATAGAAATGATTTTCATGTTTCGCTCCTTTTAGGAGGCGTCGTTTTTAAAATGGACTCAACGTTGGAATAGTAAATAACTCAACCCGCCTTGAGAGTCTCTACTAAGGCGTTTATGTTTTTCCTCTTCTTCATTATCTTAAGAGAAAAAAGATTTTCCTTCAAACGTAAGGGGAGGATGCAGTTTATCATCATCATCGTAGGTAAGAAGAGAGAGAGAGAGAGAAGACAGAGACCGAAGAGAGTAAAACAAAAAATCTCTTTCTACCTTTTCCCTTCATTATTATTTCCTTCTTTCTACTTTCTTTTTTCTCTCTTCTCTGTCTACATTTCTCTCTTTCTCTCTCAGGTTCATTTTTTGTCATCCTCTCTCTCTCTCTCTCTCTCTCTCTCTCTCTCTCTCTCTCTCTCTCTCTCTCTCTCTCAGTGAGAATCTCGGAAAAGGAAAAACCTGTTTCACTTGTGTGTGATTCAAATGAAAATGAAAATATCCGAGTCATCATCGCCATCATCTCCATCACCATCACCATCAACAACAATATTTACAGTGAATATAAAGGAGGAACCATTGGACTCCTCTATGCCTCCACTTGCTTCACCCGCCACAGTGGTAAATGTTGCCACTTCCAATACAAATTCAGCATCGAAAACTCGTGAGCTTGAACCTTCACCACCGACTACGGTCATTTCTCTGGCACCCGCTCAACCTTACCCAGGAACACAACTAACCTTTGCTGCTCCAGCTTATGATCTTGAACCAAATACGGCTTACACTGTCCAGGTAATAATCTAAATCTCTACCATTTCATTTTAATCCATTCTTCATCTTAAATCTTCACCTTTCATCTCAAAATCAGTTGATAATCTCTCTCTTTCTCTCTCTCTCACCCACTCTCTCAATCGCTATAAAGTACTTGTAGATCTCAGGTAGATGATAATTGTTTAGGTTGAGAGAAGAAAAGAAAAGAACAAAAAAAAACTCTATGTAATCTATTCACCTGCTTTCATCTTTTTCTTTGTCTTCTCTTATTCCTTTTTCTTTTTCTTTTCTTCTTCTTCTTACCTTTAATTCTTTTTCTTATTCTATTCTATTCTTTTCCTTTTCTTCTTCTTCTTCTTCTTTATCATCATCATCATCATCATCATATGAGATTAATTTCTCTTCTTCTTCTTTCCTTTTTTTCTTCTTCTTCTCCTCGTGTATTGATTTTGATTCCAAATTCAATTGAATATCAATCATCTTCTTCTCCAACCCATTGGATCCTAAAGACTCTCTGTTAATCTTTGCACTTTAATCGCGAGAGAAAAAAAAATCTCACTGATTATCTTTTCTTTCTTGCGGTGATTTAATTGATTTCTTGAGGTAAATCATCGGTTAATCAAAAAGGTTAATTTGATTAATTGTTAAATTGCAGAGCAAGGTATTGGCTAGTGATGGTTAGATTGTGGTTCTTAGGTGTAAATATCAAATGTGCACAATTTAAATTGTAAATTGGTTGTTATTCACTGATGATGGTGATGATGGTCAACTATTAATATTAATTAGCCAAAATTAAAATTCTTAATCTTGATAAAGTTTATATGTTTCTTGTTGTAAATCAAATGTTAATTGTTCATTTAATTTTCTATTCTTGTTTCCATGAATTCAACTGATTTAATTGTAAATCATCTGTTCATCAAAAATTTTGTGTGTTTTTGTTTTTCCTTTGTGGTGATTATTAAATAACAATTAATTTATATATATACAAACAATTTAAATCATGACACAAACTGGATCAACAATTACATTGGATTTTAACCAATTTAAATCGTTGGATTATTGTGATAAATCATTGGATTTTTATCAACTACTTGCTGCTGATGAATTTACTGATTGTAACAACAACAACAACAACACCAACACCAACAATGTAAATGAAATCAACAACAACAACAACAACATCAACAATGATGATGATGATGATAATCAACAAACCACAACAACAACACTAAAACCGATGATTCCTGTCCAATGTTCATCATCATCATCGCCATTAACATCATCATGTTCACCACCAACACTTACAACTTTATCAACACTATTATCAACCTGTGATGCTTCATCTTCATCTTCAACCCAATGCCAACCAACACCATCAACACAACCCCAACCCCAACCACCTTCACCTTCATACCACTCACTTGAACCACCTCAGGTCAATTCAGATGTAGCATCTCAATATGCCACAGTGGCCCAAGGAGCAACAGGTCGCCTAAGTAACAATGGCACCGTTTACCTGACAACTGATTATATAACTTATAGTGACTATTACACTGCTACTGGTGTAACTGGATCAGGATCAGTAACAAATCATGATCAGGTAATTGTTGGTTAACATGACGTATTTTAATTACTATTATCTGGACCCCTTTTCTTTTTAAATTAACTCGAAAACTTCTTTGTTTTATTTTTCTCTTCAATCATAATAGTGAGAGAGAAGGATGAAAATCATCTCTACACACACACATACACACTTAACCACTAACTATAATCATCTTCCATTGATCTTAATCTTAATTAACTTTTTTCCTCTTCTCCATTCAATTCCTACACAAAAAAAGTTTTCATGCTGAACTATAAAACACTTAATCATGATTGGCTCTTTACCTTTGTGTATATATCCACTATCAGAACATATTATCATGGTTATAATGTTGATTAGGTGCGCAGTTATATTAAATTGGTAACAATTAACTTTTACACACTGAATAGTTTTGTTCACTTTGCGCAGAAAGAAAAACTTTTTCCTATGTTAGTTTTGTAGCTCTTGTAGTTTACGCAAAATTTGCTATATCATATTGCAAACAGCTCATTCATCCTTATATTCATCCTCATCATCCCCTCATCATCCTCATTATCATCTTTGCATTAGAATGCAATTTGCTATCTCCACCCATCTCTTTGCATTCTTTTTTTTTCATTCTCATTTTCTTATTGTTAGAACTTTTTTTTCTCCTTTGTTTACATTTCGCTTTTTTATATTGTTTGCTAATTATGTTTTTCTCCCTTTTTTTACCCACCACACTCACCTTTTTCTCTTGCTCGTCTTCTCCCTCTCTCTCTCTCTCTTTCTCTCTTATACTCTTTCTCTTGCCCTCCCCACCCACTTGTGAACTGTCACTTTCTTTTTGTCTTAGGCCATTTTACCTGTTTCCGCTACAACGGTAGACCATTCAACAACAATAACCGTTACCTCACCTAATCTAACGTCACCAGTCTCTGGAACCGGAGAGTCCAATTCAAACTCATCGACACCATCGACTGTAGGAGGTGGAGGAAGCAAAACTTCCGGCGGAAAACGATCATGGAATGAGTATAACCGAAATTCTGAAGTAGATAAAGTGCAAATACCAAAAATATTCTCGGAAGTCGGTTATAAATATTATCTAGAGTCACCAATATCGACAAGCCAAAGAAGAGAAGATGATAGGATCACTTATATCAATAAAGGTCAATTTTATGGGATCACATTAGAATATATTCCTGATCCTGCTACTCCCTTAAAAAGTGCCACAGTTAAGTCTCTGGTGTTATTGGTGTTCAGGGAGGAGAAATTACATGAAGATGAGATTAAATCATGGCAATTTTGGCATAGTCGTCAACACTCAGTTAAACAGCGAATCCTTGATGCAGATACTAAGAACTCGTCCGGTATCATTGGGCCGATTGAGGAGGTGACACATAACTCAATTGCTTTTTATTGGAATCCTCTAGAAGGACCTGCTAAGATCAACGTTGCTGTGCAATGTTTGAGCACTGATTTCAGCAATCAGAAGGGGGTCAAGGGATTACCTTTACACCTTCAGATTGACACTTTTGATGATTTCCGCGAGGGAAGTCCACCAATTCATCGGGGCTACTGTCAAATTAAAGTCTTCTGTGATAAAGGCGCAGAAAGAAAACTCGAGATGAAGAGAAGAGCTGCCAAACGTAAACTCACCGCCACTGGAAGTAAGTCCATTCTCTTAATTACTATTCCAATGATTCAACAAATGTTTGCAAACTTTTCATTCTGGTTTGATTAATGAGTATTTTTTATTTCGAAAAAAAAATTTCTTGAATTACACTTGTCGATAGTCCCAATAATGAGTGTGTACAAAATTTTCTCTGAAATATTCAGATAGTAACTAATTAGTGTTTCGAGATAAATGAATGATTCTTGTTGAAAAAAAAAAAGATTGATAATGAAAAAGTTTTGTTGCAGTTATTGAACTTTGTTAATTCCAAATCGTTGGGGTGATGTGATCTACACGTCATTACGTTTATTTATTAATTGAGAAGAGTAAAAATGATGCGAAAAATGTTAGTAGTGACCTGAGAGAAGGTCAAGGGTCAACGACATCATCACTTTTTGGAGGAGGCTGCTTAGCACCGACTCTCCAATCATTACGATGAATAATATCAGTTGACCATCTATCTCCTTCAATCTGAGCTTGATTGGCTTTCCATGGCTCATCTGGTTCATTCATCTTCTTCCAATCAGATGACCCTTCAACCTGACCTCGACCAGATTCATTGTTTACACTTGACCGGTCCCTAAGGTCTACTCGTGTTTGTTGTTGATCTGTCGGCTGATGATTTGGATGTTGTTCTTGTTGAGATTGAGTTTCTACCTTTGAAGATGCTGATACATCATCAACATCAATAATCTCTGGATGTTGAGGTGGTCGCTTTTTGTATTTATTTTCATTAGTTACTGATGACCTTTCACCATCATTGTTGAGTGACACACTTGCTCCAATCCTTGTCGAATCTCTTGTGTTCCCTATTGTTGAGCCTTTGCTTTTTATCCTTCCAATGTCACCTTTATTTTCTGTATTACTTTCTTGACCACTAAATGGACCTGTTAATCCGGGAAATCTTGCATCTAATCTTGCATTGTTAAGCATGGGGTCGAAACCACCACCTAAAGCAGAGACTCCAAAGTTGAGAGGGTCAGATTCAAATTTAGGTGGAAACATGTCCACCTCGTGAACTTCATAAGGTCGATCGACTTCGTACTTTGTCACTGGCTTCAATTGTTTCGATTGTTGTTGATTTTTCTGGACATTCGCTCCACCAGAATTATCTCCACCTTCTGAAATTCCAGTGGCAGTTTCTCGCTGTTTAATCGCACTCATTGGTTCGATCTTTGCAGGCTCTTTATCTTCTCTATCCTCTTTCTGATCTTCTTCCTCTTCATCTTCATGCTCTTCCTCTTCTTCCTCCGAATGAGGTTCTTTCTTTTCTATATAAATATCAGCATTACCAATCGGAGGTTCGACAAGATACTCAGCACCAAGAATATCTTTAGCATTCAAATATTCCGTTTCCTTGCCTTCGTAACTGCCATAGGAATCGCCGTAACCTCCCCATGAGTCCCATCCTTTACTCTTCTTCTTCTTCTTGGGCTTCTTGAAAACAACTTCCATTTCAGGCCATTCGCCCCACTCCTTTTCTTCCTTTTCACAGCATTTCTTTTTCGGCTTTTTACACTTTTTCTTCTTGGGTTTACACTTTTTCGCCTTTTTACATTTCTTTTTCTTGCAGCACTTTTTCTTCTTCTTCTTTTCTTCGATTTTACCTTCTTGTACTTCTTTTCATACTTTTTACCTTTTTTGTACTTTGTCGAAACGCTGTACTCTCGTTTCTGGGGTTTATCGGCTCTTGAATTGATCTGAACTCGCGACATGGGTAAAACCATTAATCCCTCTTTTTCCGCTTCTTTCATTTTACGAAATTTACTGAATCCATCCATTGATGATGATGGACCATTCCAATAGTTTTCATCATGTTTTGTCAACCCTGTGGCACTTTCATGGTTATTATTATTATTATTACCATGAGCCTGAGGTACTGGGTATGTTGGGCCCGAAGGGCTTGGGTGGTTAATTGTTGTTACATGATGTTGTTGAATATGTGGTCCAGTTTGATGTTGTTGATCCTGATGTTGTGAATGATGAATTTGATGTTTAACAATGACTTCAGGCCCGCTGGATGTTATCTCGTCATCTTCTTCTGATTCTTCTGATTCACTAGCTTCCTCATCATAACTTTGTCTCATGGAGGGTTCATCGTATTGAATTGATGGTGATCCTTCATTAGAACCATCACCAGAAGATTGACTATTACCCCAGGAAGTATCATCTGAATCACTCGTAGATTGAGCTTGAGGTGCATAAGGAGGTTGAATTGGCTGATGTTGAGGACCGGGTTGTGCTTGATAACCGGAAGATTGATACTTTGATGGATGCTGATTATTGTTATTATGATTATTTGGGCTATTGTTGTTACCGTTAGAATATGAATGATGAGGTCCATGTGACTGTGAATTAGGAGGTGGAATTGGTCCTTCATTACCTTCAGATGAACCTGAATTACCATGATCTATATTCATCCATTCATGACGTACAACAGGTCCACCCACTGGATTACCAGAATTACCATTTTCATGATGATCTCTTCTCATATCCTTACGAGCTACTCGACGATAATCCTCTTTATTGGAAGAACTTGAATCCTCATGAGACTGTCTTACCTGTGGACCATTGTACTTGAAACCTGTTGATCTACCTGATGCTGGTTGGTAACTGTATTCATGTCTTAGAATTTGAGATTTCGAAGAAGAAGAAGAAGAAGAAGAAGAAGAAGGAGATGGTGAAGATGTGGGATAAGAATGAGATGATGGTCCACCATGTTGATATGAAGGCCTATGAGAAGAGTAAATAAGATTGAAGAGAAAGAAAAGAAGAGAAGAAAAAAAAAACGTAAATGGAAGAGAAACGAATTTAAGTGGAAGAAAAGAAAGGAAAACAAAGAGAGAAAAGGAGAAGAGGCTTTTAGATCATTAGTTGTTAGTGAAGAAAGAAACAGAATCCAATCTAAGGTTGACTGGTTGAATGTTCATTTCAAAAGATTCAGAGTTTTGAGCTTTGCAAGTCGTTTGTTGATTTGTTTTGCTGTAATTTTTTCCTTTAATGACTAAATAAATGACATGAATGTTTCGCTGGTTCTGTTTACCTGAGAGTTTGGAGTTCACACCACAGTCGAAAAGACAAGCAATACTTTTTTTACCTTCTCCTCGCTTTTTTTCACGCTCTCTACTTAATTCTATCTATTTTTCTCTCTTTTAATGGCAGCGAAAAAAAAACAAGAAGAAGGTAAAATATCAACAATATTCCAACAGTAATCATCATGTATAAGAGAAGAAGAGAAATTCAAAGTAATTTGAGTAGAAATTGAGGATAAAAATGAAGGAAAATTGTTGGTATCAACTATCTTTTCATCTTTTACAACTTTTTCTCTTTCGCAATCTATTTTTGTGTCTTTTTTTTCGATTCTCTTAAATTGTGATTAAATCAACTGTGTGGTTGTTGGAAGAAGATTAAATTGTGATTATCATGTTGCTTTTTTCTGTTATAATGTTCAATCATTGGAGCTGATAATTTATCTCTTGTTCGTTTGTATTATTGGTTTTGGGATAGAAAATTGTGTTTTCTTTTTCATGGTTTTGTTTGTTTACTTTTCGCTTTCTCGTTTCTCACCTGTTGTAAATTGAGCTGCTTGGACGATGCACTGGACCTGATTTACCATCTTCATCATAATCGTCATTGGATTCACTATTGAAGGACGAAGATGATGAAGGACGATTACCATAACCTGGATTGGAATCATGTTTAACCCATGGACCAATATCTTGACGATTATGTTGAAATGAACTTTCTGAATGAAGGTCATCCAATTGATAGGTTATTGAAAAGTTTGCCGAAGATGATGAATTGTTGATAAAATCCGTAGGAAGGCTGAATGAAGCTGATGATGCGGATTCAGCTGATGTTAAAGATGATGATGGCAATAATGAATCAGTTAATGATGGCGGTGAAGTTGATGATGATGATGATGATGATGATGAAGCGGAGGAAGATGGTAATGATGATAGAGATAAAATTGGCAACTCATGAGGTGAATCAGTTTCATTGAAATCAACAATGTAAAAGTCACTCGGTGAAAAGGTTGATGTTGATGTGCCATTGGATGAAATTGGATCACCATCCAATAGTGAATTACCTGCAATCAGTGAATCATCTGATGCATGAATTAACAATGTCCATTGAAGCTCACTCAGTATCAATAATATCACAAGCCCAATGGCTGATGGAAGCTTAATCATGCTTCTCGTTTTTCCCCCTGGTTTTCACTTAATCTTATACATTGAATATCCACTGGTGATTCAATTTTGGACTTGTCTCAACACTGAACAATATTAACTGTTGATGTTTGATTATCAAAAACTTTCAATAACTGTTAACTTATCAATTGACACTTGATAACTAATCCGATAATCTCATTTTACCCTTACATTTATAAGCCAATTTTCACCCATTTCTCTCTCTCTCTCTCACTCTCTCAATCACTCACTCTTTCCAATAATCATTAGTCAAAATGCTGATCATCCCTTTGATTTTTTTCCAACCTGTTAATTGATTTTCTTTATTAGGGTTTGAATATTTTTCTCAATAATCCATAAAACGGTTGATTTAGTTACAATTGACTAATATGATTAACCAAATTGTTAACTGTTGATTTGAACTTTTCTTGATGATCTTGATATCGGTTGACAATATGTATTGATCAGGGTAGATAAGGTTAGTTGTTTAAAGTTATAACTGTTTTCATTTTCTCATTTTTTATTGTCAATCTAATTACCTTACCAGGTATGATTCTTACCTGTTAATTGGGCTCACTTTCTTTTTTGTTACATCTTTCACTCTCTTTTCATAATCATAATGATAATCGATGAAATTAATGGCGTCATCCACCGATGATAATGATTATAATAAAGAATAGAATAAGAGATTAACCAATAATTGTTAATCTCTCTTCGTATCGGTAAAGTTCGTTGTTATCGATCGATTTTCATTACTTACACTTAAACATTTCTACAGGTAAATAGACAATAAACGCCCTTCACAAAATGGGTTTGATGTGGGTTTGATATGAGAGAGAATAGAGAAGAAGAAGAAGAAAAAAAAAGTTCAACTCACTGAATAGAGAAAAAAAAGAGTTGAAAAAATAGTTATGAACTTTCAGGTAGCCTGATGATACAATTTAATGTTTACTGTGGCAATTGAAAGGGAGGGTTCCAAGTGATTAGACTTATCGCCTGGTTTATGTGTGTCTGTAACACTGTAGTTGATTAACTCAGATTAACCTCATTTCGTTGATCTTTTTTTATTCATAATCTTTGCTTGATATTATCGATATTTTATCAAAAATTTATTGATTGAGTTGAGAGTGAGATGTATTAATAATGATGATAGTGATTATGATGGCGAGAGAAAGATTAATTTCACTCCTCAACTTAACCATTAGTGAGAAATATGTTCAATCATATATGTTATTTGATTGTACTTCGAATTTTAAAAGTAACAGTGATTGACATCCATTTATCCTGCATGATATTGAAAAAGATGATGATAATAATAAGAAGATGAGAGAGTAAAATACAGAAAGAGAATCTTAGTTAAGAAGATAAAGAGAAGAGATAATTTTGTTTTTCTTTCTCTCTTTTCTTCATCGTTTCAATCATCAATCTCATCAACTTTCGGTCATTTGCTTCTTAATTATCTTCATCACTTTGAAACACCAATCAAATTGATGATGAATATCCCAATTTCTATCTAACTAAATCATAATGAATGATGATTTCTAATAATTAATCAGATATTGCAAATTAATCATTTACCTATAAGGATAATTTTATGGTTCACTTTTTGTTTTGTCTTTCAAATATTTTAAATTATCATGATTGTTGCGATTCCTTAATAACTTCCGTTTCCCAAACATATGATTGTCTAATCGTAGGGAATTTTTATTTGCCAGGATGATAATGATTATAATGATGGCGATGATGGAAAATAGCATTTTCATTGTAAACACCTAAACATGAATCAAGAGAGAGAAAGATAGAGAGAGAGAGAGAGAGAGAGAGAAGAATGAGATTTAATTCTGACAGCTACGCATTTTTTGTTCATTGAAATGATCAACGTTGCAAAACACACTCGTTGCTTTGAAAGCTAAAGAAAGATGAAAATTCATGATAAAAGAGAGAGAGAGACTAGTTCGTCATCATTCATTTTACTTTTCTCTTTCTATTTTCAAGGTCACTCTCATGAATTATTGTTAAAATTTAATCTATACCTTTGATAAGTTTGCAGCGACTTTGCAAACCTTTTTTTTCTAATGAAAAAAAAGTTCTGAATGTTAGAAAGAGAGAGTGAGAGTGAGAGAGATAATGAGTGGAATAGAAAATACGAAAGTTGCTAGATTTAACTTCTTCTCTCTCGTTCTCTCTCTCTCTCTCTCTCACCTTTGCAGATAGTCATCCAAGATTAGATGCATTTAGATGAATTAATTTGCAATCTCAGCCTTGAATTTTTTTCTTCGTACTTTCAAAGCAAAGTGTTTTAATGCTCCGAGTAATAATAATATAATGAGAGTATTAAATTAAAGTTAGATTGTAATGTTATTAATATGATCTTGGATTACATTTTATTTTTTCTCTCTCTCCTCGTTCCTATCACTCACTCTCTTTCTCCCTCGTCTCACATTGAAATTATAATGAACAATTTATTAATTGTACAGGGAAACTATTTACATGGAGATGAATTAAGATAGAGGTAAATTAAAGTTACAATAAAAGTGAACTCAGAAAATGCAAATCGTCAGATCGCTTTGTGTTTAGATTGATGTGTTTCTCCTCTTCACCAAATATCAATTCTGATGATAATCAACATTTGTTTTACAGATAAAAAGATGAGAAAACAAAGGAAATATTAAAGTGAGAGAGAGAATGATGAAGATTAAAGAGAATAGAAAAATATCTTCACTCTCCTCCTAAGATGATAATCAAAAAAATCTCATCTCATGTATTTACTAACCTTTTCTCTCTCTCTCTCTCTTTCTATTTGTATACTTTTGTCTGTTCTCCTCCTTAGCATCTTGATCTTCCTATTTTTCTGTTGTTTTTCCATTACTTTATTGTGTTTATCTGTCAATTTATGGTCTACCTGTAAAAATGCAATCTCACCTTAAAAGGTTATCACATTATCATTATCATTTTGAGAAATGCAAAGTAAAAGCCTTTGCTATTTTCCCTTTTGACAATCTCTTCCCAATTTTCCCCGGGCCGATGATCAACATATATTATCATCATCTTGTTATTTGTCTTTAAGTAATTCGAAACGGCTCATCATTATTTCTACTTCGAAGTATACATTTCGATTACAGTTAACTTAGTAAGAAGAAAAGTCCGTTTACTTTTGCTACATAATTTTTTTCTTTCTGTGAGAAGATGATAAAACTGTTGATGCATACGTGGTAAAATGTAAAAGAGAAGATGAAGATGATGATGATGATGATGAAGAGAAGACTCCCTTTGTTGTTATCTTGGGAATGGAAATTCAAATTAGTAGTTGGCACCCCCTTGACTTGAGGGCCATTTTGCCCAAACTTCGCCAAGGCCCTACAGGCACAGTCGACTGACCTATGCAACTTGTTACTTCGCTATTACTTTCTCTCTCTCTCTCTCTCTCTCTCTCTTCCAATCTCTCTCTTTCTCTTTCTCTTTCTCTTTCTCCCTCTCCCTTTTCTCTTTTCTCTTACCTTTTTGTTTATTATCCTTCTCTTCCCCATCGGACTCCTCATTTACTCGCGTTCGTTATAATCTTTCTATTTCTCTTTCTTCACTTCTCCTTCATCATTTTTTTTCTACCTTTACCTGTGATTTGTTTCTCTTTTCTCTTTCTATCATTCCATCTATCTTCATCTTCTTTTCTATCTCTTGCATCTTCTTTTCCCTTCTTAACTCTCACACTGCGTCAGTCAGTCCAAAGTCTTTAAGAATCAACCTTAACTTAAATACCATTATACCTCCTCTTTACTTTCATCATTCTCCTCTTTCTCTCTCTCTCTCTCTCACTATCTCTTTTTCATCATCATCTTCATCATCTCTTATACCTGACTTGTAAAACCGTCTTAAGGTTATTCATTGGTAATAAGCAAGAAAAAAATACATATATAAGGGACTCAGCGTCTTCTATCAAGATTAATCATTTCGTTATTAGCAGAAAGCAAAAAAGATGAAGCAAAGTTTTCTTAAGGTCTCTTTGATCCATCTTTCAGTTTATCTTTGATTATCTATCTCTTTAAATCTCAACCTTAAAGTTAACTGTTCTAATGTAATATAACATGAAATGAAAGATATTCCTTCATTTTTAACTTCTCTATCATCTAAAACACACGATTAAATGTCAATGATTCATTTTCAATCACTGATTTAATCTCAATCCAAATGAAAAATAATGAATTCTTATTATCTCTTTAATTTGCAAAACGAATCACATAAATATTTAAACATAATCTCATGAGTTATTTTAATTAGATTTCGATTAATGTAAATCTATGTACCGACTGATTTAGTAATTTTATCAATTTCTATTACTTTTTAATTTCGTACTCAAGGTAAATCCAAATGTAAGCATTAATTTTCTTATAATCGTGAGGTAATTTAGTAAATTATTAAGATTCGGGCTGAAAAGCTTTTTGATAAATCACATTTTCATCCACACCATCATCATTTTCATGAAACTTTAAGCAAACCTTATGAATGTGTTATTATCATTTCTATGCATGATATCACAAAATTATCATCATCAACATCTCTTGATGCTCTGATCTTCACAAAGCAACAATCCTTTTGAAATGAGAATCAAATGCTGATGATGATCACATAAATTATCAGATTTGAATAAAAGTGTAAACATTTGATTACTTTGCATCATTCATCTTATATATACTACAGTATTATAATCGAGTGAAACATTAGTAACTCAAGAATTGGTTTGTGAACAATTAACTAATTATTTTCTTATTCTATTTTCAGATGGACGTAAAAAGATCGAGGAAATGTATCATCCATCATGTGATAGATCAGAATTTTATACAATGTCCGATCGAACCAAACCTCCGGTTCTATTTACACCAAGTGAAGAACTTGATAAGGTAATTGTGATCAATTATCATGATAAATCAAGCAAAGTATGTGAAACCATCATTTATGGCTAAATTTACCTTCACCTTTTCATGAGAAAGTTTTAGCAAGTTGAGACAAGTTAACTATTCCAAGTTCTGAGAGTTTGAAAAGAAAGATTCAAGACAAGAAAAATTACCTAATCACCATTAATTTACTCATTAATAAGATGAAATATTATCATTTTTTTATGGTTTCCTCTATTTTCTTAATTCCAAATGATTTTCTATTGACCAGTAAGAAAATGTAATAGCTTAGATCCTGTCAGGGTCATGATAATGATTAGAATGTTCAATAACTATTATTGATTCAGATGAAATTTCACAATTAATTGCAAATTGGCTTATTTTACAAGCTACTTTTTGTTTAAGCTTTTATACTGTGTGTGTATGTGTGTATATATAATTTTTATGATACCTGTAAATAATACCTGTAAGTTTCATAATCAAGGAAGAGCTTAATTTTATTATTATCAATTGCACACACAACCGAAATTGACATGATAATATTGTATATATAATATGATTCTTTAATATTGTTTCACTTTTTGCTTGATTTTTCTTCTTCTTTTCCATAATTTTAACAGCATTTCTAATAAAATTACTATTCTTCCCCTCTGAATAGATAACTCCAGGCGATATGAGCTTCTACTCAAGCCAACACTCAACCGGAGATTTAAACACCACAGGATATGATTCACCAACCCATTTACCCATTATAACTCCACCAGGATCCTCTGGAACAGCCTCACCAGGAATTATTGATAAAAGAAAACGAAGTGCCGATCCTATTTCTGCTAATTTGGAGATGGTTGTGACTCAACCACCTCCACCTAAAAGAGACAAAGTTTACCCTCCAGATCGATGTAAGATTATCTTCATGTCGACTTTACGGATTATCCCCAAAGATTAATGAAGAAAATGAGATTAAGCAAAGATTAACCAACGAAAAAGACTGACCTTTTGAAAATAACTTTGAATAACTAATTTCGAATACTAATGAGCAATATTGTTGACGTGGATTCTATTAATTTCATTTTAAATTGTCTGTTCATTGAGATTTAATCATATTCTTTCTTTATATAAGCAATCAAGTCTATTAATTATCCTTTTTTTTTCTTAATATTCTCAAATGTATGGTTGATTGTTTATTCTAATCATTGGTTAATTATCTTTTTCCATGTTAATTTTCTCTTGTTCTCTTCATTAGTCAATCAAAATGTTAATCAGTGAATATTAATTGCGTACTAATTAATTATTTTCTGCCTCTTTTTCATAGTAGTGTTGTTATATGCTAGACAAGAGAATGAAGAAATCTTCCATGTACTTCATATCGTCCCTCCTACATTGGTCGGTTTAGCCTTATCTGTAAGTTGTATTCACCTTTAATTAACAATTAACAGTGTTAATTAAATTTCCAAGTTAACTAATTGTTTTCCCTTGTCTTTTGTTTACAATTTAGATACAAAAAAAGTACAAATTGGAAGCTAAAAACATAAGGCATTTCTATAAAAGATGTTTAAAAGGGTTGGTGTTTGTTTTAATTGTTATTCTTGTCGTTAATTTTTTTTTTTGACAATCACTTTTATACATGATAATTATTTTTTCTATTAATCTAATTGTATATATTTTAATTACTTATCATTTTTCTAGAATCACAATACTTATGGACGATGAATATGTGAAATTATATTGTAATGAAGACACCGTGTTGTTGCAAGTTCATCAGGTCGATGAACAAACTCACGATATCACCTTAGTGGAATATGATTGTTCAACCAATGCCTAATTCAATTCTAATTATTTTCGATAACGATAATTATAATATAATACTATTATTATTATTACATTATACACACAAACTCCAACAATAATCAACCTTAATCACTATCCTTTCCTCAACAACCACACACAAACACACACACAATCAACGAAATCCTCCTCTTTTCTACTTACTCCATTGACAATTAGCCGACAATCAATAATTATTGGAAAATTAAACGCGAAAACAAATCACATGGAAATCTCAAAATGAACAAAAAATAATCAAAGGGCCGGAAGAGCAAACATAAAATATGAGGAAAAAAAACTCGAACTATGGAAACGAAAACACTTTAGTTGAACTTATATATATTAACCTAAAGGGCTTTTGTGACTTTTGAATATACACTTTTTTTGTCGTAAATCTCACCACAAATCACCAGTTAATTAACCAACTACACCAATTACTCAATCAATGATTTGACCATAACTTTTTTTTTGTAAAGATAAAATGATTAAAAAAAGCAAGCGAAAGATGAATTAATACTGAAGCGTTTATAAGATGAAAAAAACGAGAAGTGACAAAATCATCAAGACGAATTTTTCCCCTTATGCTTAATGTTAATCTATCTTTAGGTGCTGGGAATCAAGTGCATCATCATTCATCATCATTCATCACTCTCATCATCTCTCTCTCTCTCTCTCATTGTCATCCTCATCTCAACTAAACCACCACCACCTCCACAAATACACATACACACTTATTGAACCACTACAACGACACAACAATCAACTAATCATCAAATTCCAATTGTCCAATATTCTTACCTGCCTTTCTTTTCCTTTCGCCTTAATTGTCTCCATTTATAATTCGCCTTAATTAGTGATAATTAACTATGCAAATATTATCAATAACAATCAACATGAATCTGCAATTTCATGTTGAATCCACTTCTCATTCAGCAGTTACAAAACAACACGAACATCATTCAATGAAACTTGATAAATGCTGCAACAATTTACGTCCAACTCATCACATCAACAATTAATAATCGTATTAATGATAATAATAATAATAATATACATCTATGCAAATAAGCAACAAAAAAACAAATTTAGTAAATTTAAATCACAGCAACAAATTTAAATAATCTAACTATTTATTTTGAATTTATATTGATCATGATATGTGAAGAAATCAATGAAATCCAATCAATCTCATCTCTCTCTCTCTCTCTCTCTCTCTCTCTCTCTCTCTCTCTCTCTCTCTCTCTTCATATCAAACAATTTTTTTACATTTTGGCAAAGTTTATTACAATTAATTAATAACAATTAATAGATATTATCATCTCTACCAATTTTTACCTTTTTCTTGCCGAGATGATTAAACAACATCAAATCAATCATCTTATCAACAATTAAAACGAAAAAAAAAACAAAAAAATCAAATGGGAATTGTAATATTTAACTCTGACTATCAACAATTTAATTATTGATACAGAAAACAAATTGATTAAAACCTTAATTGTTGATTGAATCCATCATCATCATCCCTTTTTTTTATTTCAAAACAATTGACCAACAATAAAAACTTGAATACATTTAACTGATTGTTGTTGTTTTTGATTATAATTTCGGTATCAAATCAATCTGCCAACTGAATTAACTGGTGATTATATTTTTACATCTTTCCAGTTAATCAAATCTAGATTAATCAATCAAAAGTGTTACAATCAATCAAAGTGTAGACATTAACAAACTTGGAATGAGAAAAATTATTTAATTTGTCTTAGCAATCAGTTAATCATAACTACAGCTTTGACGACAATTAATTCAAAGCTTGATTATTAATAATAGGTGAACAAATCACCGAAAAAAAATTGTAAATTGTATTAAGATTAATTTTTAATTGTGTTTGTTGATTAAAAAAGTGAAAATAACTAATGAAATAAAAAGCAAAAGTGTTTCCAGAAATAGTTGATAAAATGAATTAGTTGATTGTGATTAGCTGAGAATCGTTGATGATGATGATTGAAATTAATCGTCTTTACTATTATTATGTATCATAAAATATTCACCGATATTGAACTTATTCATGATGAGTGACTGTAGTTGTTAAGATGGCGAGATGCCCTTAGGCTATTTGAAAGATGCTGATGGGGAATAATAAAAAAAGAAAGTGAAATTAACTTTTATCTTAATTGTAAGCAAACACATGATAACTTCAACTTCGTAATAAACTTTTCGTTAGTAATGTTTATCCATCTTCATGATACTGATGATGATGATGATATTTCTCCCTCTTTTATCTTCCTTCCTCTTTAATCTTCACTTTCTTTTTTCATCTTCTTTCTTACATCCAATACCCTCCCAAATTTTTGCAACAAGTTGATGTTAATTCTGTTCATCATTCTAATCATCTTCGTGTTTGATAAAAAGCCTGAGGCCAACCTCATTTTCGGAACGAAATCAAGTTCATTGGACCTTTTTTGTTCATCCTCGGACTTAACATCATCATCATCATCATCTCTCTCTCTCTCTCTCTCTCTCTCTCTCTGTCGGTTCCACGAATTTGTAAAACTCTATTTTCGGGTGAAAACTGATGACCCTGTTTTCATCTTCATCACTTGTAACTGATTCCAAAAGTAAATTAACTTTCCCTTAATAAGAGTAGGAAGAGACAAAATCCTGTTATGAAGATGAGGAGGATGAGGAAGATGATGAGAAAAAAGATGAGGATCAAGATTAGGATCATCATGTTAGATAATTTAGAAACTGTTCACTTCGAGCATTAGGATACTCGATAAAACGAACAATTTTCAAAATGATTTAGGTGTTTTTACATTTTTTTCTCGAATCATCTACTTTTTGTCACATCTTAATCGATGAAATTTAATTCTGTGATTACTGTTAATTACTTTACTGTAACAATTAACTCCACTTTCACTGGGACCAGAAATTGAATCAGCTGTTAACAAATTGTTTATTGTGAGTTTTGGTTTTAATTAATCAACTTTCCAGCATTTTTGTTGGACTTTAAATATTCAATAATGATCATGGTTAAAGTGATTCAATCGATAACAATTAACTTTTCTTGCCTAATTTTCACAGGTAAGTAAATTATTTTCCTCTAATTGTTAATTTCTCGTTTGTTAACTATTTCCTCGGATCGATTTAACTCTTAACTTACAATCTATGTATTGACTGTGCCATCAAACATGGTAATTAATGTGATCTAACCTAATTAGATTAGAAGTTATCATGTCTAATTTACAATTAACTTCAAAGTTTTGTTTCCATTTAATTGTTGAACTTGGAATGAGGTTTGAAAAGTTGAATGATTAATGTTTCTCATGAAGACAATTAACCGATTAGAAACAAACAACTTTAACGAATTGTTCCAACAATTAAGTTAACCATGATTAATGATGAGCAAAAGTATTTCCTTGCTCTTTAATTCAATTGTAATCATCATCTTCTAGATGATTAGAAAATAATATTTTCTAAATTTAACTTTGGCTTTTTCTTGTATCATTCTGAAAGTTTTAATTAGTTCTGAACCAATTTATGGATTGATTAAATCACCAGGAGACAATTTATTAACGTCATCATCCTCATCATCACCATCAGCTGATTGGTTACTATTACCAACTATAGTTAAAAGTAAATTAACTCATGCAAATTACCTGATAGTTAACGGTGAAAATGGTAAAACCAATTATAAACAATTAGACAACAATCAACGTAATGAAACTAGGGGAACAATTAACTCTCTTCCAATATTGGATCCATTAGATTTAAAATCAATGTGGTTATTAACTAATCATCAAAGTGATTTCATCAATGCGACTCTTCATCACGTAACAATTAGTGGTTTAAAATCAATCAAAATTAAAGATATCTCATCAAATGATTTAACTCAAAGTCTTTCAATATTGTTACAATTTACTGGATTAAAGATTACTGGTCATTATCAAGTGACTCACCAAACTAATCAGCCAACAAGGATCAACAATTTGGATAAACAATTAATCTTTGGCAAGAGTGAAATGATTAACAATGATTCTGGTTCATTTGAAATTCAAATTGCCAATTGGTATACATCTTGGTTTGCTCATGTGATTAACTACAATTTAACTAGTAGTTCATTGATTGTTGTAAATCCTTGGTGTAAAAGCTATCATGACATGGAAACTCATTCATTCAATTCAAATTCAACTAAATATCAATGTGACTCGAAATGTTATCAGGCTTTTGATTCAATTGCTTCAATCATTTTGGGTCGAGTTACAAGTGAAATTGATTCACATTTGATGAAGTTAATGAATCGATTGATTGAAGAGGAAACACCAATCAATTGGATTGAACGGTATAATTTAGCTTTAAACCATCACAATAAAGGAGAAAAACAATTGATTACTATGGATTCAAATGGTAATTCTGTTGAAGAATCACATTCACGAAGTAAACGTCAAGTCCCTTGTAAAGCAGGTAAAGAATTAGATGAATATGTGGACAGTTTATTTCGATTTGCAGCTCGAATTATTCGAGTAATGGAACCTTTTTCAACGCCAAATGCAACAATTTACCTTCCCGAATACAATATTAAGATCTTTCTCTATGAAGGAAGTGCCACTCGAGCATATTCACTACAGCGTCGTAAATCAGCTTGGGTTCATTGTTCAAATGAATCGGTTTCTTTAGGATTAACTCTTGGATTTGAAAATCTTCGAGTTCGATACAAATATCGAGCGATTCACGATTGGAAACTATTGTGGGATGGAGACTTCGAAGCTGATATACAAGGATCGAAGACGCAAGTTCAATTTACTCAGACAACACCTAAAGGAGAAGAAGATTCCCAAGTGCAACAGCGAGTCGATCGACTTCGAATTGGAAAATTGGGCAAAATTCGACTCATAATTCGAGGTCTTGGTAACTTGACCCAAGGTGTCGGCCTTTGGTTATCCCAATACCTCAACGATCCGTACAACCAGAAAGCTTTAGCGCCAACGATAAGACGATTAGAGGCCGAAGCGGTTCCAATGATTAACGTCATGTTACAAAATTTTACTGTCCCATTTTTCACAATCATTTAATTTGATTACAATTTTTTATCTCAATTGGCCAATATCATCATTTTCCTAACCATCATCACCACCTTATCCCTCCAATCCTCATCTTTATCATCTTCATCATCATCATCATCATCCGAAACTGATCTGATTCCGTTTCGAAAAGTTTTTTTTAACTTTCCTTTGTTTTTTTTCAATTCATTTCCTTTTTTTGTTACAACTTTTCAAAATGTAAATAAATCATCTTCACACTAATTAACAGTTTAATTATAAATTCAAATTGTAATCATCAGAAAGAATCATCAAAAATTAATATTTTAATGATACAATTACCATTTCATGAGATATAATCAACTTTTTATCAATTAAGAAAGTGAGAAAACAAATTTCATGACAATCATCAGTGTTGGTCGAAAGTGATTCATTAATTGTTGTAGTATTTGTATTAAACAATTAGCCCTGCACATGATTAACAAGCTTGCCTTTCAATTAGATCTCTTAATTATCTGCCATCATCATCACAATCATTGTAAGAAATTAACTAATCAAATTGTTATAATGAAATGATCAACCGAACCGGTTCCATATAAAAGTAACATGAAAAATAAGAAAGTAAAAAAAAAGTTCTAATAATACTGAATAATAATGATGATGATTAAGTTAATGATTGTAATAAGAAATGATAATATTTAATTGTGATGAATATATTTCACCATGTTGGTTGACAGTTTTCAATAGCAATCGCAATTTAGTAATCATAATAACAATCATGATACAATCAAGAGACATTGTAATAAGTTTCAAGTTACTTGATTGTTTGATGGGAAATTTAATTTAACTGTTTAATTTTAATTTCTTATTTTCATCTCATTTTCTTGATCAATTTTGTTCAGATTGATTGTAATTAGATTTGTTATTAATTTTCTTCAACCTAATTTAATCAACTCTCGATTTTAAATTGTGAACTGTTTCACTATTTTTTTTTCAGTTGGTTCAGTTAATTGTAAATTGAGACAGTTTGAATATCAAACTAAATTGTTAATAAGATTTGATTATTTAGCCAATGATTAGATTGCGGATTTAAATTAATCGGTGTCACTATCATTACTATTTAAAGGTAAACCTTTTTTACTTCCCAATATAATGTTGTTATTATCATGATTACTTTAAATAGTAATTATTAAATTCAATTGCTTGTGATTGAGGAAAAAATTTGTTCAATTCAACAACAGACTGAATAAATTATTTGATAATCTTTTACCTGAAGATCATAATTAAATCAAATTCAGTTAATTCATGTTAATCGTTATCGTGAAAAATTTTAACAAATCAAGATGAATATTTAATTTCATTTAGTTATCTTTTTTCAATCTCTCATTTAATTTCATTTAGATTTTGTTATTTGATTGTTTATTTGATTGTTCACTCGATATGGTTTTGATTGAGAGTAACAAAATTGTTACAATCTGATTGTCATTTATTTTGTGAATCAATTTGTGATGGTTAATTTAACTTATTGCTGCTTGTTGATCATGAAAATGATAATCAAATATTGATATGATTGTTGTGACATTTCAATTTAAATTGTAATTGAAATTGAGTTGACAAGTTTGTTTCAATTTCCAATTTCATTGTTTCAATTGCTTCATATCAGCATCTTTTTAATTGCTTTCAACAACAACAAGTTAATTTCATTGTTATTGGCTTACAATTAGATATTTTAATCCAAGGCGATGAAAAAATTATTTCAATTTGAAGGTCCAAGTTAATCATTTGACTTGAAACAATCACGATAACGATTGATTGTAATCAATTCTGTTTTCATCAACTGAGGATTGAAAACAAAATCGTTATTCCAAGAGGCGATTGTTGATAATTTTTGCCGTTTTCGATGGTCTGATAAGTCCAACTTTCGTTCGGGTTTGGCCCTAGTTTCACCTTTTCGTTTGAATCGTTTGACCCAATCCACGATAAATTGGAAAACGTTGATAAATGAAACACCGAACCAAAGACCTAAACAAGAAGCGACATAGCAAGCATATTCGATCGGAGCGATTTGAGGCTTATAACTATATTTAAATTCAGCTCCTGACGGACGACGGATATAAATGTGTGTATTATTGGTTGAAGACCAACTTGACCGTTTCTCCAACGCATAAACATTGTTCGTCGAATAGAATAAATCTTTGCATTGAGGTGATTCACATTTTCGATAGCAAGTATTTTTATCCTTTACATGACAAGGAGCATTCGAGCTACTTTCATCTTCAGCTATCAGGAAAGGGAGGGAAATGTTGCCAAATGCTGGAGCAAGAATTGACCAAACTGGACATCGATTCAACGTCTCCTCCACCCAACAGGTAAAGATACACCCAAATTTACCAGCATCAAATTCTGAATACGATCTACAGGCAGTTCGATATGGTGGTGGTAACATGTTGGTTTCAAATTTACTGGTGGACAAAACCATCTCGTTGATTTCTTCCGTTGAGAAAGAAATAGTATCAGCATCAGAAATGTGCAGAATTTGAGCTGGATTATGGACAAAGAGCGATATTATTTGTGGTTTTTTGGTCTTTACCACGAGGATATAAAAATCTTTCGCATTATTGGTAAAAACTGTCAGTGGTTCTTCATCAGATTTACGGTGGAAATAGGTGGTACATCTTGCAATCGATCCACCAGTTTGAGTATATTGAATGGTCACTTTGGGTGCGACAACATTATCACAGCTCCACATTAAAGATCGGTTCAATCGAGGCAATTCATCTGCAGGAACTGTACAGCTAATGTTCACTTCGATCGCAAGATTAGCGAGAAAGTTAATCGGTAGATAACCATATGAAGATGACGATGAAGCAGATGATGACGAGAAGAACTGTTTAACAGCTAACGATTCATGATTAGATAAATTGCTGGGCAGTTGATTGTCGATTGGAACACAAACTGTCAGACCAGGCATTGAGATAGTATTGGAAACACCGACTGTGATATCAACCAAAGTCCCATAATTGAAATAAACCTCGGATATGGATCTTAATTGCCAAACCAAACCAATGGAGGCGAAAGCAAAGGATAATAATGTTGTCCAATTACCTGACATACGATTACTACTCAGTCTGAAATAAAGCAAAACAAATTATACGAAAGTGATTTAGTTGATCATATTCAGAAAGAAAAAGGTGAAAACATAAACTCACATTGGGAACTGAGTTTAAATTGAGTGGAAAACATGACAAAAGAAAACACTTACTTTCAATGTTGTTGATCCATAACTAATTGTCAGTCTCAACTCATCAATTAAAATTGTCCAAACGTAGTAATTGAAATACAATTCATAGATATTGTAATCAATCAACAGGCTGTAGAAACATTGGATCAGTTGAAAATGAATTTTCACCATTTGATTAATCGTGTGAAGTTTATTCTTCATCCCAATTGTTGTCAGCAACTTTAATTATTCGTTGGAAGTAATAATTAACAGAGTAATTAAGATTAGTTTGTAATCTCCAGCATGTTGATCTACTATTAAATCACTTTCTCTTTACGATCCATTTGCTGTTTACCAATGAACCAGAAAATTTGATTGACACAATTGATCTCAAAGGTGTTCAACCATTTTGTTTGCATCTCCAATTATTTTTCAATTGAATCAGAAACTATAATGTATAATATCAGCTGATTTACCTTAAAGAAACAAACAAAATGATCAAATTCAATCAATTCTAAACTTGTATGAGTGTTTCAATCAACACTTGTTCACCGTTGAAATACAAATTAATGGCTTAGATGATCAAATATACTCCATGGGAACTCCAGGGTACTGAATCAACTCGATTTAGGTGAAATCAAGAGTTAATTGTTGAGAAATCAAGGTGAATGTTCAGCTTTCAAATACCAATAGATGGTGAGGATATAAAATAACACAGAAAAGTGATAAGTGTTTACCTTGAAAATGCGATGAAATGAAAACCATCGGATCGAAAGAGTTGGTGTAATGACCACTAAATGATTAACCATGAAAACTACGGCAGTTGAAACAATTGAATTAAATTGGAAAAATGAATTAATGTTTTCCAAATTGAATTTAAATTGCAAAGAAAAATTCAAGAGTAAAGTGTCGCCATCTCTTGGATCTTCTTTCTACTAAACTGAACTTTTTTAAATTTGAAAAGAAAAATAAATTTGATAATCAACAATTAGAAATATTATTAGAAAATGAAACGATGAAATTGATTATCTCTTAATGGCAAAAGTTGACATACTCATTGTATCCATGATTCAGTGAAAGATTCTGATTGTGTTGCCTCATCAAGATTGTTAAGTTAAAGTAAATTAAAAGTCAGGAAGCTGAAAAATTTAAGTTAATTTTTTTTTCAAGTTGAAGTAAAATAAGTCAAAGGAAGTGAATTAACAGTTACAAAACCGGTATGATGTTGATTTAGGAAGTGCAATATTTAAATGAAATAAGGAAACTCAAGGTTCCAACAAGTAAAATCTAGTAAATCAACTCAAATTACTTATCAGAAATTCAGATTGATTGACATTTAAGATAAATCATTTTCTCTTCCTATTTGTTTTGTTGTAACATTTTCACCTTTTTACAGTTTAAATGTATTGGGTTTTTTGTTGTTTTCGCGTATTAATTGCAGATTAAATAATACAATTAACGATCTTTTTCGCTGCAGATACAATCAATTTAATTTTTATTTGTTTTGATGAATGTGTTAAGGTTTTGTTTCATTTGCATAATGTAGTAATATATGTATAATAATATTAATAATAGTAGATTTGATTTTTGATATCTAAATCTTTTTGTTTTTCTTTACAATGACAATTGAGAATGTTTTTGCTCTTTAATATTGTTGTTATGTTGACTTTTTCGTCGGGACTTGTTGCTCGGGTTGTGTGAATTGTTTCATTTGTGTGTTTGTGTCTTTTTGCTTCGTTTTTGTCTCAAGTTAAACAAATGGTTTTTTCGTTAATTTCTTTTGTCAATTTGAATGTGAAAAAATAAGAACAAAATGAGAAATGTTGATGATGATGATGGTGATGGTGATGGCGATGATGATGATCGTGATGTCGATGAAGTGAAAAAGAATAAGAAAAGGGTGAAAAGGAAGCAGAAAAGTACTGATAGTCATTGAATTTATGAGAGCGTGGTGGTTGAGACAGAGGAGAAGGAGGAAGATGATAAAGACGAAAGGTGGAAACAGATAAGGAACAACAGACAGATAGGATGTAAGTCAGTTCCTTGTAGATATTACTTGTAAGTACAAGTGGAGCGTAACATTTTTGCAAAATTATTATTTAACCCTGACAGCAAAAAAAAACATCTTCCTCATTTGTTCAGGTTGCACAGTTGGCCTTCTGTTGTTTATGAGAATACATTTTTCTTTTGTTAATGATGAAAGCGAACCATGAAAAAGAAGGAAAGAATTGAGAGAGAAAGAGAGCAAGTGTAGAGAGAGAGAGAGAGAGAGAGAGAGAGAGAGAGAGAGAGAATAGAGATAGAGAGAGAATGCGATAAGCCCAGACGTAAAAAACAGGTTCAAACTAGGTTACCCAGTTAGAGATCCATCAGATTAATGGGAAACTTTGAAGGTCTTCTTTTTCCGGGTCAACATGATTCTGATTTAGACTTTTGAGAAGGATAATGAAGAGAAAAAACAAAAAACAAAAGAAATAAAGGGCATCTTTCTGTCCACTTAATCCAATAAACAAAAGATTTAATCAGTTGTTACGAAAACTTTCCAATAGATTCTTAATGAAGACTGGATCCGAGAATATTTCCTGATCAGGTGTTTGAGAGAGTCCGGATAAAGGAAGCTCAGAAGAATACTGGAAGTTATCAAGACATGCGAGATCGTCGTCATTTAATTCTTTAAACTCTTGTGGATAATAGTTTTGGTTGAGATATTGAAGCTGCGATGATTGATTTTGTGGTAAACGTTGTTGATACTGTGATTGAAGCTGTCGTTGTTGTTGTTGTTGCTGTTGCTGGATTTGGATTTGCTGTTGAGATTGAGGTTGATGGTTATGATTATGAATATTGTTATGATTTTGAAATTGTTGGGATTGTGTCTGTGGTAATCTGTTATATTGTGACTGATGGTTAGGCTGCTGTTGAAGCTGGTGATGGTTTTGAAGATTATTATTGTTATGGTTTGGAAATTGCTGAGATTGTGTTTGTGGTAATCGCGTGTATTGTGACTGTTGGTTAGACCGTTGTTGTTGTTGCTGTTGTTGTTGGATGTGCTGTTGGTGAATCTGTGCCTGTTGTAATAGCTGTGGGTGATTTTGGACTTGGGATGGAGGTTGAGGTTGAGGCTGTTGATGTTGATTGTGACTAATCATCACCATTTGATGCTGAGATTGTTGGGACTGATTTTGAGGTAACCGTTGAAGTTGTGGCGGTTGATTAGATTGAGGAGGTTGATGATGGTGAGTATGGAGATTTATGGTATTGTGATGTTGAAGCTGTTGGGATTGAGGATGAGATGGTTGAGAGGGATGATGATGGGCATGGTTAATCATAATCATTTGTTGTTGGTGTTGTTGAGACTGTGTTTGTGGTAAAGGTTGAAGCTGTGACTGTGGATGCGGTGGTTGTTGGTCTTGTGGCGGTGGCGGTGGCGGTATTTGTTGGCGTTGTGGAATTTGATGGTGAATAAGTTGCAGTGGAGGTTGTATTTGTTGATGAGAATACTGTGGTTGTTGCTGTTGTAACGGTTGAGTTTGTGGTAGCAATTGAGATGGCTGTTGCTGCTGTTGTTGTTGTTGTAACTGATGTTGAGACTGGCTTTGTGTCTGGGACTGGGATTGAGGTCGAGGTTGAGTTGAATTTTTAAACACAGTTGTAGAAGGAGAGGAATTGTTAATGGTAACTAATTGTCCGTTATTAGGAATTTTAGCAGCATTGGGACCCGACGATTGAGCTGAATTATTGGAAGGATGGCTTCGCTTTGTTGCACGAGATCCAGGTCCGTTTGAACTAATTTTATTGGACTTGACTTTACTACCACTAACAGTATCACTTATGATTTGTTGTTGCAATTGGTAAGTCTCTTGTCGTTGTTTTTCTACTTTGGTGTTGTGAGTCGCTGTTGGAGTGGGTGGCGTTTTGTGTGTTGTTGTTGTTTTCAAATGATGAGAAGAAGAAGAAGAATAAGAAGATTGATGATAAAGATGATGAAGAAGAAGAAGGAAAAGAAGAAGATGATGATGCAAATAATGAGGATGTAAAGTGATAAAACAGAGGGGAAAAGGAAAAAAAAGAGAAAAAAGGGGAAATAAGAGCAGAAAGAGGGAAGAGAGATTAATATACAAACAAATGTAATATAAAAAAGAGAGAGAAATAAAAGAAAGACAGAGAGATGAATGAAAATTCAAAAAATTGACTTAAATTCATCTGATGCACAAGCCAAATGATAAAGTAAAGCAGAAAGAAGATGAAAGATGAAAGAGAAAAAGAAAACATGAAAAACTGTACTTACTTAAAGCTCGATTCTCATGTTCTTTATGATGAGTTCGATACTTTGTAAATCGGTCTTCCAAGTTACAAAGAATTCCTCCATTAGATCCTGACATCTCTAATTCAATTAATTAAATTAGAGATTAAACCAAAATGGAAAACAATTGGCAGTGAATTAATAATTAACTAGACAGAGATAAATTCATTTTGAGATCAAAAAGAGTTTCAAATGTACAAGACAAATAGAAAAAAAAAAAGAAAACTAATCAGAAATCGCGGTAATTTTAAAATTCGTCCATGACTAAGAATAGAAAAAGAAAATCAATTTAACCTTCAGGTTAATTGTTTCCATTTGGAATTATTTTTTCTTCCATCTCATTAGTCAATCACCAATTAGGATTAACATAAAACAGTTAATCCATTTTTGTTTCTTCTTCAATTCGGTTTTCTTGTTCGGCATCAAAAACGATCACCAAGTAACACCAAGCAAAGAATGAGACTAAGGTGAGAGTTTGAGGTTCTCAAGGTTGGTGGCGCTTTGAGGAAACAGAAAAAAGAAAGAGAAAAAAATTCGCAAAGTTTACTCTCTTTCTTTTCTTCTTTCTATCTCCTAGCGCCATCTCTCTCTCTTCGTTGTAACGACCATCTCGCATTTTTTGTTCTCTTCACTTTCTTATCATAATTAAAAGTATAAACTCAATATGGTTAATTATTTTTTCTTGTCAATCAATTAAAAGGATTTTCCATCCTTCGTTTAACTGAAATAGAGCAATGGTCTCAAGTAATTATGATGGAAACAAACTCGAGAAACTGGAAAAGTGAATTTCGAGTTAATCATTCTTCTTGTGATTTAACACTAAATTGACAACTTTTAGTGTCTTTCCTTTCACTCTCCATCATCATTACTCTCAATTAACACTAATTGTTACGAATTACTAACAGTCAATGTAACTAATTTGTGCTCTCAAAAAGTTTTCCTTTATTCTGGAAAACAAACCTGAGCAATTTGTTGAGTTTCGCGTTTGGTTTAGATTGGTATTCTTTACGAAATGATTACTTATTATTCATTTGGAGAAATTGTTTGATTAATCAAACAATTACAATGATTAAAGGTTTGGTTTTTGTTTAACAATTTGATTGATTGTACAAGGAAAATGTAATTTAATTGTTCAAGAGGCAATCAGATGTAAATTTAGGGGGGAAAATGTCAATACAAATTAGATATAAATTCATTTTTTTTTCAGAAAAAAAACATTATTGGTTAATAGAGAAACCAATCGATTGATTGATTTGATTTGTTCCTGTTTCTCACTTTTAATGTACAAATATTATTGGAGATGATTAGGATTTCAAGGGGGTGATAAAATTAATTTTCAATGGAAACAATTAAACGAATAAGTTGACTATTAACTAAATTTGTAAAACCTGTTGATTGAAAATTAGGTTTGAGTGAAAAAAGTTGACTCGATGTTGTGTAAATTAGTTGATAGTTTATAAATTGTTGTGGTGATTTGGCTGGTTTACAGTAAATACAAAGGATGAGTCTTTGTAATTGCCAAAGAGACGGTTAATTGTTGTAGAAAAAAACTCAACAGTTATATTAAAAGGCTAAAACGCCATCAGTATAAAACAAGGAAACGATGAAAATGCTTTTTTGTTGCAAGTTTTGACTGTGATGCAGAAAAAAATGGTGATAATTGGATGACAATTAGTATTGTGATGGTTACAGTAGAGTTAATAAATTAGGAGAAAGTTTTCAAAACAATTTAGAATTGAAGATTAACTAAGCAGGTAAATTAACTCTTGTAATTCATCTTTACGGTTGTACATATATACTGAAGTTTCCCAAAGCATATTAATCAATTTCGCATTATTAGTCTCATCAAGACTTATATTTTCAGATATCGGAGGATTTAACCTGAAATAGGGCAAATGAATACCATGACACCAAGCCTTTGACCTTTCAACAACTTGACCATCAGATTGTGTTGCCTGTTAAGAGTAATCAGAAAATAAGAGAGAAAGAGAAATGAGTTAGAAAAATTGAATAGTCAATTGCTCAATCAATTTAATTAACCTGATCGACTAGAAGCTCTCCTAATGCCGAGGCCATAAAAGCCATTTTAGCGACTCCAACCAAACTATCGGGACGATAAACATCAACAATTGAAATTGGTTTAACGGGTATTGCACCGGTTCCACATGAAACAACCACAGCAGGTCTTAACTTTTTCTCTGGGCATCCCTGTAAATAATAAGCAAAAACAAATTATAATCAATTATAATATTATGGAAACAATTGATGAAAATGGCCTAATGTCTCTCATTCGTTTAGTTTTTTACAAAATTCATTCAATTGCATTGGCAGAAAATTTAATGATGGATAACAGGGTAGAGGAAAAAGTGAGAATGAAGGATTCAGAGGATAATCGGGAAATACTTGACGCAGTTGAATACAATCAATGAAAGATACAGTTATGAGTATAAGTATTGTCCACTCATTTAACTGACGTAGTCTTCAAATGGTCAACTGATATCAAAAGTTATCTTTACTTGATTAAGATTAACTGCGCGAATGATTTGGAAAGTGGTTGCAAACTCAAAGTCTTTGGTTGTATTTATGAGAGATGATTGAAAAGTTAATGAGTTGAAAAGTAATTATAAACTTACAATATGAGCATAAGAAGCATTGATTTGTGAAATTTCAGTTAAGGCATCAAGGGTTGGATTATTTGATATCAATCCACCGTCCAGATAAGGTCCACAGGGTCTGAAGTAGGTCGGTGCTGCTCCAGATGAACGGGCAGCCATCCAGAGGAGGTAATCAGATCCAATGGGACTAGATGATCTGGACGATTTTGATTCTGAGGAGAGAATAATTTCCTGGGCAGAAGGATAATTACGAAAGAGAAATAAATCGGCCGGAAATTGATCTGCTATGGTTGCGGTGATCATTAATCGTGGATGAGTGATATCACCGATTTTGGTATCAATACCAAACTCTTTTTGAACAAATTTCTCTAATGGTTCAGAATCATAAGGTCGAGGTCCAAGAAACACTTTATCTTTTAAACGAAAATACAATTGACGACATTCGGCTGCTGTATTACCCAAGGCCAAAGATATTGCCAAAATCCCGCCCGTTGATGTACCTCAAGTAATAACCATCGATCAAATTAGATTTTAAAATCAAGAGAAATTAAAAGACTAGAGACTTACCAGCAATCCAATTGAAAGTATCATAGATTCGTCTTTTCGTCATATCTTCTAGAATTGCCAACATTTGAACGAGAATTAATCCTTTGATTCCACCACCGTCAAGACACAACAATTTAATTTCATTCTCTGGTGGCTCATCGAAATTGATTTTCATCTCTTTCTCTTTTTTCCTTTTCACCGCTTCTTCCAAAATATCTCGATAATGGACATCATGAATTGAGACAATTCGAGAGAGAGGTGATGTTTCAGGAGGAATACCATTGAAAGTCGCATTAAGCGCACATCCATCGGTACATGACAAGTTATGAGCTTTTTTACATCGTTTGGCACCAACAGTATCCAGAATATAAAGAATTAACTCTTGATTAGATATCCGTTTATTGGTGGCAATTATGTGTCTTGGTGTTTCTCCACTGTTGTTACAAGTGTTCAAATCAGCGCCGAAAACGACAAGGGCTTGAACAATGGTCACATCTCCAGTTCGAACTGCAATATGTAAAGGTGTTTCTCCGTTAGATCCAGTGGCATTCACATCCGCTCCATGAGAAAGTAAAGTGACAATGCAAGAGAGATTTTTCTTTGCCACCATACAATGGAAAACAGTTTCACCCTGAAAATTTTTCGCATTAATGTTACAACCCATTTCGATTAGCGCTTCCATACATTGTGGACTTTTAGCCCAGTGTAAGGCAGTTCCACCCATTTTCATCACTTTAGGATCAAGTAGATCAATGAAATTACACAAACTGTGATCACTTGTCTTCTCATTATCAATAGTCCCCAATGAAGCACCATTAACATCAGCACCATTTTTCAGCAGCTCTTTAATACACTCAGGTTTATCGGCAGCACAAGCCAAATAAAGTGGACTGTTTGTTTCATTGTTACGAGAATTGATCAATTTGATTATCAGTTTACGACGGTCACTCAAACTATTGCCATTAGTGGCATTACTGTTACTGTTATGAGTGTTATTGTTGTTACTTGGATTAGTTGAGTGAGTTGGTGTATTTGCATCTTCTGAAGTTGATGAGATTGAGCTTTGTGATACAAGAATTGAATGAGATCCGGATGATAGTGTTGGGGAAAATGATGATGATAATGTTGAGGTGAGTGTGGATGTTACAGAAGAGGATGAGGCAGTTGTTGTTGATGACGAATTTGATTCGGACGGATAACATAAAGCGGAGATAATATCTCGATTGGTTGTCGATGCAAAGTGAAATATATTCCAACCACGAATGTCGGTTCTCGATAAATCAGCTCCACATGAAACTAAATATTGAACCACCGGAAGGCGACAACCTTTAATTGCGAGGTGTAAGGGTGTGTATTGAGTAACTGGATCAACGGCATCTTTCAGTGAAGGCTGATTGGCAATGATTCCCTTTAGACATTCAAGATAACCAAAATAGGCACAAATATGAGCCAATGTTTGCTCTGGATTTGATCGAATATAATTAACTAATTCTTGAAGACTATAAGCATTCACCAGATCGGGAAAATTGTTACATAAAGTGGGCAATTTATTTTGAACCATTGCTTGGAATACTTTATCAGCTCCCATTTGATTATCGAATCGACATAGACTGTAATAGATTGTGAGAGAGAAAAACAATTAGATCATTCATATTGAGATCATATATATGTTTAAATTGCTCAAATCTAATAGATAATTTTTGTTTCCCGTGACTGAAGTTCAAATATTATGATTTGTTAGTACATTTATACAGAACTTGGAAGTGAGCATTACGTGTGGTGAATTAGTACTCAGAATTAATAGTAATTTCATCCAATATTAGCAACAGATGAAAATGAAATCACTGATTCTCTCTCCCTTGGTGTAAAGGGTGTGACAAATCTGACGTTTCTTCAAGATTTATCTTCTAAGATATTAACTGTGGGTGACAAAATTTTCTATTGTTTGAATTGTTCTGAGATGAATGTTCCCTCGGCAACAATGTTCATCATTGACAAATTGATCATCATATGGGTGAAGGATCAACAGTAAAGATAATGGTGAGGATTGAGATTACCTGTAATCCACTTCAACTCCTTTACTGGGCATTGCTTTTTGTAAAACGATTTCAAATCTTGCACCATCAGGTAATCCATAGAGAACGAGACAATCCTCTCTTGAGTAAACTTGGTACGTTTTATAATCGTCGTTTTTAACCTCGACCACAACATTATATGGATACTCGGAAATATCTTTTCTACGGAAACTGCCAACAAAATCACGAAGAAAAGACATGATGATGATGTGAATGAGAAAAGAATTTCTGGTTCTGGTTAATAATCAGCATACAGAAAGAAGAGAGAGAGAGAGAGAAACAGGGAAAGAGCAAGAGAGAGAAAAGGAGAGAACCAGAAATGGTAGAAAATACACAGAATTGTCACCACCGAACAAGAAAAACAAAGAAGAACACAAATCAATTAGAATATGAATGAGAAGAGAAATGAAACAATGGTGAGAAAGGAACAACAATTAATCTAAATACAAACCAAAAAGGAGATGATAAGTAGTACGTTTCAATGAAAACAAAAAGTGTTGGTGGTGAATGAGAAATACAGTAAATTGTGAATTGATGACGACGATGATTACAGTTGTTGGTAATAATAAAACTCTAATCACAATTAACGATGAGGTGATTAGTTAACTATAAACTAGAGAGAGAGAGAGAAAAGCAAAGGATTAAGTACAAGGAGAAAATAAAAGAGAGGAAAATGATCTAAATCACAATCAAGGGTTGATCATGACGAGGAAAAGTGAAAAGGTTTAGAGAGAGAAAGTGAAATTGAGGAAAATAAAATTGCGAAAAAGAGAGAGAACCAGCTGATTGGATTTTTTTCTTACTCACACACAATCATCTCTTCATTACAACAATTAAATTCTCATTCACTTTCTTGTTCTTCTAATCATCAGTGATTATCTTAATCTTCATCTCGTCACCATCATCGACTATTTAATTCATCGCGATCATCAATAATTCTTTGATTAGAATGTTTATTTTCCATTTGATTATTTTTTTTTTTTCGATCATCTAATTTGACAAGATTCTCCATTTCCTCGGATTACAGTTTCTATTTTCTTTTATTGTTCTATTATTTTTTGATGATTGTTCTTCCACAATGGTAGTTAATTGTTGTCAATTGATTGTTCCTCTTTTTTTTCCGATTGCTGTTACTAATCATCAACAATCAAATATCCTTTGTTTTGAGCTTAGGCCTGAAACATATCATAGTTTTTGCTTTGTTTTGTTATTATAATCCAAATGTTTGTCTATATTTTTGTGGATTTATATTGTTCTCGCTGAAAAGACAATCCCAATTGTCGACACCTTTAAATTGAAAATTTAAGAATATGATTAACCAATGAAAATATGTTAGCTTGTTAATGATTAATTTTTATATCACCAATTTAAAGTGAGACTTTAGTTGTTTTTTTTCCAACAGGTTACAGATGATGATGGTGATGATTTCTAAATGATAGAAAGGAAACAATTTTTTCCACCATTTAAATTGAGTAAATTTGAAGGAAAACAAAAGGAAAATAAGTATCACCTTATATATATCAACTAGTATAGACTAAAGATTAACATATAATCACCGTTGAGATGTTCACATTTAGGAAATTTACATAAACTTTTCTATTCTTAGTGTTATCTCATTTATCTCTTGGTTTGTTGAAGAAAATATAAAAGGAAAGAAGAAAAGAACTATAAAGATTAACGAGTAAGAGAGAGAAAAAAAAACTAATTTCGAATCAAAGAAAATTAAATCAACGTAAACACTTAGAGGAAAAGATAAATCGAGATGAAAGACGATGAGGCTTATTGTTTAGCGATGATTGGAAACGAAGCTTTAACCAGATCACTCAATCCAATTTCAATTGTATCACCAGGTTTAACTGAACCAGTTCCACCGGGTGATCCAGTGAGAATAACATCTCCAGGTTCCAGGGTGAAAAATGAGCTAATGTGACTTATGAGAAATGGTATTTTGAAGATCATGTCTTTGGTGTTTCCATCTTGTCTCATTTGTCCATTTACTTTACACCAGATTTGTTGGTTCTCTATGTCAGCGATTTTCTCTTTTGGAATAAAATTTCCCACTGGACAGAAAGTGTCCGATCCTTTGGCTCTTGACCAGGGCAAACCTTTTTCTTTAGCTTCTGATTGCCAATCTCTCGCTGTCATATCAAGGGCAATGGTGTATCCACCAACATGATCCCAAGCAGTGTTTTCGGTAATATCACTTCCTCTTGATCCAATGACAATTGCTAATTCCACTTCATGTTGTAAATTTGAACATCCCTTAGGATACTGTGAGAATGTATCAAGAAAGAAATACAATTAAATTGAGAAGAAAAACAAAATTAATTGTAACGGTAAGAAGGTAGAGGCCAAGGTAGAAAAAGAAACAAATTGAAAGAAAATTGATCGATTTGGAGAAATTTGAAAACACTATTAACTGTTGATTGTTTCACTCAAGAAAAGCTTCAATTACAAATAGTTAACAGTGTAAAAGATGAAAGTAAAATATCAATTAAATTAATTAGATTGAATCATTGACTACTCAATATTGTCATAAGAGTGTAAAAATGTGACAATTATTACAATCGAGGAGAATTTTGTAAAACATTTGAATGATTAACTTGATTGTAAATGACAAAGTGACCAATTAAACAGAAATTGTTTTACTAGTCCTTTGATGAGGTAGAATCGTCAATAGGCCAATCAAAAAGTAAACAAAACAGAAGATGATAATTACTTTGATAGATGAACCATTAATTGCGAAACTGGAAGGAGGCTTAAGAAAGATGATCGGTGATTCCGGTTTATTGGCATATTTCATTTCTTTAACATGAGCTCTAGAAAAGGAGATGGACAAGAGACAAATTAGCAAGAAGAAAGTACAAAATTAACACATAATTAGAGCAATTAACTTACAAATAATTACGACCAACGCCAACAATTTTCCGACTAAATTCAACAAAGTTTATAAGTCTCATAACTGTAGAAATGAAAACAAACAAAAGCACAAAGAAAAGCAAAAACAGAAAAGAAAACAATCAAATGAATACAAAGTATGTGAGACAAATGAAAGACAAACTAATCAATTAACTAATGGTTAATGAGAAAGAAAAACAAATCAACAGACTTAGATAATTGAACAATTATTATAAAAAGATTAAGAAAATAAATAATCAAGTGGATCGCATGGTCTTCAATTGAAAATACAATAAGTAGAAACCAAGGTAACCCAAGCGCGGGCAAAGATAATTAGATGAAACTGATTTAGTGATTTAATTTAGTTTTCCACAATCAAGGGGCATGGAAAATGGTCCAACATTTAGAGATATCGATGGACAAGTTTTTTTGGGAGAAACTTGAACGGATTGATTTCCTCATCCTTTCAATGGAATTGAATTAAATTGGTCATGTGTGATTAAAGTGAATTTAAGTAAACGTATGCAAATTCATTGAAAGGAATTAATTGTGATCGGCCGACTGATTGGGGGCAGTTAATTGTTATGAGTTTGGGAATGTGACCAGTGATTAGTGTGTCGGTGTTTATTTTACTTGGATAGAAAAGGTTACTGATATTGTTTGTTTAATTGTTAGCAATCGCTAAATTATTATTATATTGAATTGTACAAGAGTTTGTGTATGTTTGTGTATGTGTTGATTTGTTTGTTGATGATTACAAGATTTTCATATCAACTTGATGGTTGGAGAAAAAGGTAAAAAAAATTAAGGGGAAAAAAAGAAGAACAATCAAAGATGATGAAAGGTGGAAGAGGAAAAATATCCGTGCGGCTCAGAGGAGATATAATGATGAATTGACGGTGGGAAGTATTTAATCAAGTCTTGGTTTGGTTGGTGTTCTTGTCATCGGAAGAGATTAAGGAAAAAGCTTGATGATGATACTTTGTTGTTGATTTCTTCCTTTCTTTGTTGATGGTAATTTGTTAATTCTTCTTCTCTGAAGGTATATTTTGCTTAATTGGTTAGAATAAAGATTATCGGATCAACAGAATTTCCATCTATAACCACATTCATTACAAAAGCAAAAGGTTGTCATGGGTTCATCAGCACTTCGCGTTTGAACTTGATTGTAAGTTGTATTTGTCTTTTTACACTTCGGACATTTGATAAGATCTGTCTTTGTACCTCCGGTCACCGCCATTTGATGGTCATTAATTGCTTCTTTTGTTAGCTTTTGACGTAATTCTTTCATCTCATTGCTGGCCATTTCCTCAGCTGTCATAACGGCAATTCTTGATGCAGAAATGTGTCCACGGAGAACATTGAATTTAAGATCAGGATTTTTCGAATCTTTCAAATTGGACACTCTAGATCTAATTCTATTCTTATATTTCATATTTATATCTTTAAATTCTTTATAAATATTATCTTCTATTTGGGCAGCTAAATCTTCAGGGTCAAAGAAAGTTTCTCCACTTGATTCTTCCATTCCTTGTTTAAGAGCTTCAGCCAATAATTGTCTACCTTTAAGACGAATCTCATTTGATGTATTAGATGGAAAAGATTGTTTTGGTTTAGAATCGCTACCAGGAGCATTACTACGAGACGTTGTACTTTTATTTGAACCGTTTTTACTTCCAGTGTCACCTCCACCACTACCCGTACTTCCACTATTCCCAGAACTTATCGTTTTATTACCAGATGAGCCCGATGTAGACCCATTATCAGTATTATTAGAATCTGATTTACCCTCTTTTGAAACCTCTAGCAGCTTTTTCCATGAACGAATGAGAGACTTAGCCAAACTGATTACCTCTTCATTGGAACAGTTTTTTCTTAAATTATTAACTGCCATACCAATACGGGTTCGCTGTAAAATCTCCAATGTAATGGGAATCTCTTTCAACGCTTTAAGAAGGTCCAATGCTTGACCAAAACCTTCCTTTTTGGCTCCCATTTTATCCAATTTTTTCCCAATACGCAGAACCTCTTCTTCATGACCCATCGATGGTAATTGACTTTTTTTTTATTTCAACACAAAAAACACAGAAACAAAAAGAAACAATCAACTATTTCGAAACAAACACACGGACACCGTTCAACTAATGAACAATTTAAATTACAATGGAAATTAAATTAACCCAAAGTTGCGACAGAACGAATGAAAAAGAGAACGATCTTCAAATAGAAAAGTTAATCAACTCAATTCTCAAAAAACACATTTTGTTGATCCGAAAACAGAGACTAATTGGTTATCCCTTCCACGTAGAGATGGCGACAGTGGCAGAGAAAAGCGGTAACATCAAATGTGAGAATTAAATGTTTCATTGATCAATTTTAATGGAATCAGTTGACTGATTTAACGATTGGATTATAAATTTTTTTAATTTTCTTTTAGTGTAAATGGACTTTTACATGAATAGATTTGATAAAAATGTTTTAGTTGATTACCAATTTGTTTTGTGATCTACAAAATTGAGACCATTTTAGTTTTATAATTAGTGACTGAGAAACTTTTCAAATTTGATTTACAATTTGGTTAACAGAATTGGTTGATGATAAGGTTTAATTTGGATTTGCTTTTTTTTCTTGTTTCATGGTTAATCAGAAATAAAATACCATTGGAAAATTAGTTGATGATAGTTAAAGAAAAAGAGAGGAAGAGAGAAATAGAGAGTTTGAAATATTAACATGACGAAGATCAAGTGTTGATACTGAATAGAACTCACCATTTGCAAGTTGATTGTTGATTTAATTTTATGTGAAAATTGTTGGAAAATTTTCAATCAAAGTTAATCAGGTTTACGATATTTAGCTTGAATCCAAACTCGATACATTTTCAATTGTTTACCGCGATTAACTTGCAACCGTTTATCAGTGATTAACGATACCTTTTCTAAACCAGAATCGACGAAAAGTTTGCCGACTTCTTCTGGTGTGAAGAAATAGGCCATTGTTCCGTCGCCTCGAACATAAAAATTGTCATCCATACAAGAACCTTTTTTAAATCTTACTTGAGCTAAATCGTATTTACCATAATCACGAAAAAGAAACAATCCTCCAGGTTTCAGGTATCGAGATAATTTCTTGATTGTTTCAGGTATACTGTAATTAGAGTTTACGAAAGTCTTTGATTAAGTGATTAAGTGAGAAAATAGAAACATGGTAATTACATTAATGTAAATACCTTTTTGGAGGGATAGCTGATAATGTGAAAATGGAAACAATCACATCTAAACTTGATTCCTCGAAGGGTAAAGATAACTGATCTTGAGTAACATCACAGACAAATGGTTTACATCGACTTTCATCAAATGAATTGTTGCTCTGAAAATTGAGAGAAAAAAAATCAATAATAAGAAAGTGATTAAGTTGATCTTATGCTCAGTTAGTACTCACCTTTAATAAATCAATAGCAACTGGTGAAAAGTCACAACAGTAAATCATAGTTTCTGGATTTCTGACAAAAAAAACATTGAGAAGACAAAGTTAAGAATTAAATTGAAACCAATGAAGAGATTTGCCAGAGTTAATCGCAATCGATCAATAGTTGATTGGCTTAGAGATACCTTCGTAATGTTGAATAACCAAAGATCAACTTACTCTCTGAGAGCGAGAAGAGGGAAAATAGTATTACCAACACCACAACCGATTTCAAAAATAACATTCACATCATTTGACAATAATTCTGGAAATTCAGTAAATAACCAATGTCGATCTTTGAAAAATTTATCCTGATGTGTTTGGTAAAACTTATCCCAATACTCATCGGCTTTCAGAAGATATTTGCTTTTCGAATCATCATCAACTCGATGAGCTGAATTGCACTTTATTTTTTCATCCACCTCAGCTAATTGCTCTTCAGTCCAATCAACCTGATCCCTGAAACAAAAAGTAAACAGAGAAAAAAAATAAAATCAATCGAAAATGAAATGAAAATAAAAACAAAATCTTCTGAATAGCAAATACAAAGGCCGTTCACCGGCTTTTCAAAGTAACTCAACTCACCAAGCATTGTGTTTGAAGACGTCGTTCTCATTGGTCAGAAAGCGATTCCCAAAACGTGGTCTAGTTTTATCACCAATAGAATCATCAGAATTCATGGTCAACTCAAAAAGTAAACAATTGAACCAATTAAGTTTAAAGAGACAAAAAGATTTAAATTTTAAAAACTGAACATCACATGTGTTGTTTTCATCGAAAGTGTCTCCATCTCTTAGTGACGGTTCTCATTCCAATCGATGAAAACAATAACAATTAGTTTTGTTATCTTTTCACAGATGAATTAACCTTTTTCATGATTGGAAATCTGATATTATTTGCAGATCATTGGGTGACCGTAATAGGACGACATTTCAAGGAAGAATAACAAATAATTGCAAAGAAACAAAGAGATCAAATTTTTATTTTTCTGTATTGTGGGTGTGTTATTTTTTGTTCTTCTTTGTTTTTTTTCAGGTTTCGTTTTGTTTGTTTGTTTAATTTTGCATACAATCCAAAGGTAAAAGGGTAGAAATAGAGAAACTTGCATTCAATTGTTGCTCTTTTTCACACTGTCTGACTCTCTCTCTCTCTCGGTTTCCTTTCACAAATTACTTTCTTCCCCTTTGTCTGGGTTGTGATTGAGATTTAACAAAATTTTCTAATAATGTACTGGTTGGCAGTGAATTAAGGGGCACTCGACGGGATGACATATCCTCAAGATCATCTTCGGTGACCCATTCATCGGGTATAATACCTTCGGGTGTCCAGTGTAATAAATATTTAACTGAGGCTCCTCGCTCTGGGCAGCATCTTCCAATTACTTTGCTATGAAAAATGATATCATTTTGATTACCAAGTATATCTAATCCTGTTTCCATACTGATTTTCATTAATTCAAACGTAATAATATCCATAATATTTGGGTCAAAATAATCCTCATGTGGTTTAACATAACAACTTATCCGTTTGGCTTTACTCTTCTTCCTTTTCAGTTTAATTGGCCGTGAGTAAGTTGTTTCCTTAATTATTTCAGCAAATGTGTTACTCATTGGTGGAGTTACGGTGATCTGAAGATTAATTTTCTCCTCTATCTTTGTTACCAGCTCTTTAACAGTGTTTTCACCATTTCCTTTTGCTTCCACAATCTTTTGCATTGCGTAGACGCTTTTCTTTAACATTGAAATCTTTTCCTCGGCTTCAATTGATTCGTCCTCTGTTACTCCATTAACCATCTTCAAAATGGTGTCACACAATTTACGCTGTTCCATATTATTCAAAGGTACATCAAGTGAAACGAGAGATGTTGATGATTTGTCCTTTAAAGCTTCAACAAACTCTATGGGACCTGTATAGGAAACCTGGTCAGCCATATTGGGGGTGAGTGGATGCAAACTAAATACACTTTTAATCAATTAAATACTGAGCAAATTTTGATGAATCTTATATCAGTCGATTCCCCGTCACTAGATCTTTCCGAATATCACAAAATGAAAATTTAATAATCACTAGGAAATTAAATACAATTGGATAACTTAAGAGGAGAAATTTAAACAACAGCCACAGAAGCTCAGAGGTAGAGCACTGGTCTCGTAAACCAGGGGTCGTGAGTTCGAACCTCACCTGTGGCTAATTACGTAAAAATTTTTATTATCCTTCATTTTTTTTTCTTTTTCTTCTTTTCATGCGATTTATTTGCATTATCGTTTTAACTGATCACTTATTTACCTTAGAATAAACTGAACAATCAGATCAATCGGTTGCCATTGTTTCCATGATGATGATCATCAAATTTGTGGCAACAAAAAACAAGACAATTGTCTTTCTTTTGTTTCTTTTTCAATTGAAGGGATTAGATTGATTGGTTGACTGGTTGAATTAACGATGATCATCATGATTTCCTTATCAATTAATGACTGTCCTTATTGTAATGAGCAAATAGGGAGGAGGGAAATGGAAGAGAAAGAAAGAGAAAAAGAGAGACAAAGTAACACGTTGGTTGATGTTGTTGATGGGAAGATGTTGGTGATCATCACGATTGTTGATGTTATTAAATCTTTTTTCGTGTTGCTGTTTCTTTTTTTAATGTTTTTAAGTCCAAATTGTGAGTGATTGTTGAAAAATAAAGGATGCATGGATAATCGATGACGAAGTGGTAGAGGTAAACACTGGTAAACAACAGATACCCAACTGATAGTAAGAAGGAGGGGGAAAAGGTATGAAAATCAGCAAATTAAATGTAGAGTAGTGAAAGAAAAAAGTAAGAGTGGTAACTGTTTTTTAGTTGATTAATCCGAAACATTATAAAGCGTAGAAATAATAAGAATCATGATTGCGAGATGTTGCCAGAAAGGGATAAGAGAAAAAGAAAGAGGACAAAAGAAGGAGGGTAATAGGGAAAAGAGGATGACGAAAACAAAACGTATTTCAATTGGAAGAAGAAAAAAGGAGGAGAAGAGATAAATTGATAGTTGGTTTAGATTTTTCAAATTAAATTGCATCAATATCGATATCAATGTCTTCTTTGATGGCTTTTGCAACTGCGAAAACGGGAGGCTTAGATTTCTCCACCTCAACTTGGACTTCACCGCCTCGAACTCGATCGTCGTAGACAACCTCAATTTCGGCTTCTTCCTCATCGGGTTCACTTTCCTCTTCCTCCGCTTCTTTCAACCAAGTCAAGAATAGTTGAGCCTTTTCGTGAATTTCTTTAGCTAATTTTTCACCAACAATCTTTTTAGAAGCCTGTTTGCAGAAAAACAAATAAAAAGAAGAGATTAGAAAATAAAACAATTAAAAATAAGTCATGAATAAAGATTAAAACCAATTTAAAACGGGATAGTTCTAAAGAGAAAAATTAAAGAATCTCTTTCAAAGTAACCTTTTAGAGAGACAACTCTTGTGAGATTATTATGCTAATTTAAAGTGGATACAATCAATCAGAGAGAATGAGTTATTCTTTGAAAGTGTTACGTTATACATTTTCAATGAGGAGCAAGGGAGAAAGGGAGAGAAAGGGAGAGAAAAAGAGAGAGAGTTTTGTAATAGTGAATTAGATAAACTCAATAGGTGGATGGAAAATGCAAGGAAACATGATTAGGAAAAAAAGAGATGAGAAAACAGCAAAAATTGATAATGAAAACAAACCTTAAAGCCCCAATCGATGATAACCTTTTCATCAAGAATATCAGTATCATAAAATGCTTTCAGGATGCGTGATACTTTGGGTAGCAATTCAGCTTTAGAGCGTTGAACAACCTGTTCAAATCCCCGCAATAAGTATCTTTGAGCTTTGACATTTCCAGCAGTAAAACGTAGGAAAAGCATTCGATGCGTTTTGATTTGTTGAAGAAAATCTTCATCGAAGAGCAACTCACAGAGAACCAGAACAGCCTTGTCTCGGATATCGAGTCTTTCAGCTTCAGCTAAAATATCCTTTTGTGCATTTGCATCAAATACACAGTTATATTCGCCCTTTTTGATCTTGACATAGTCAAGGAACATATCTAATCGTTCCTTGGGCGATTTCTCTAAATCTTCATTCATCATTAGGTTTTTGGCACCCAAAGTAAGTTCACTCATTCGCTTAGCAACGGCATCAGGATCGGTGTTCTCACCCCACGTTTCATCATCATCGTCATCATTACCATTTCCAGAATTTTCGAATCCATCATCTTTTTCATCAGAATCACCAGCAGCACCAGGTGAATCTCCGTGAGAATGTTTTTTATCATTTTTCTCTTCCTTTTTACTTTTTTTACTCTTCTTACTCTCTTTACCACTGACTCCGTTACCAGATGCAGCCGTGGGAGGATTTTTCAGAATATACGTCGTCAGTTTATCTTTATTGTTCAGATGGCCACTATAACCACAAGCTTTACAGGAGGTGGTAATAGTGTTCTTCTTGGTGAGAACACCAAGAACAGTCTCAGGATTGTGGCATGACGGACATAAAACGTACTTTTGAATAAATCCATCCAAAAGGTCTTGCAATTTGCTTGATTCATGTGAGCCATTAACAATGTAACGCTCGTTCTTTGGATCATAATTCACTTGGGCACCAAGAACACAGCCGAAGTATTTAGTTGGGTACATAGGTGGTCGATTGAGAGACTTGGCAATGTCGACCATGTTGACAATAACCGTTTTGATTCCATTACCTTTTCCCTCAACTTTGGCCAAAAGTTTAGGCATTTTGTATCGGTAGAATTGATCCGAGAGACTACGGTTGACATTGACACACGCCATGGCTTCATCACCTTTAGTTGGTAGTAAGGTTTGAAGAGGGTCACTGTGATTGATGGGGGGAGGAGGTCAGAAAACAATGTGAAAATAATAATGGTTGATTAAATGATTGTTTCTCCTTTCAAGGCAAAAGTGAAAATCAGATAAGGTCCACACGGTTTACCAGGATCATGTAACCAAGTTAAATCTGGAAATAGCTACTTGTACAGCAAGTTAAGTTCAAATAGATTTTTTTTCTTTTACATTTCCTTACCACACTTACAAGAAAACACATACACACACAGAGTGTTTTTAAAGCTTTTTCAAGAGTAACCAAAGTAACTACTTCCCCTATACAAAGTCAGGAGATAAAAAGGAACTAGAAATTTAGTAGTAACTATAGTTACTTTATGGTTACACAGAGGAGTTAAAGGATTTTTAAAATTAACAATAGGATTAACAGGAGAGCAAAGGATAATCATCTAAAGCTCACACTTTCACACTTTAAATAATTAGAGCACTAAAAGGGACAGTTGAACAGGTAAGAGAGCGAAGAGATTAAGTGAGAGAATGAGAGAGAAAAGATGAGTGAGAGAGAGAGAGTCAAGAGATGATCGAGAGAGAGAAAAGTAAGGGTGGATGCAGAGAATAGAGAATTAAATCAAATTTGATTAACAATCAGGAATTAACTGTTAAAGACAAATACAGTCTGTCGTATAAATGAACAAAAATACATTATGGTTAATCGATTAGATCGAACGAAAATCAGAAGATTAGTAAACAGACAGAGAGAAAAGTAAGTAACAATCAAAAGACAGAGAAAAAGAAAGAACCAAAAATCGGTTAATATTAATGATCTTCAATGAATCGATTTTTTTTCCAAAAATCATGGAGCAGAAAAAGAAAGTGAAACCTACGCCATCTATCAAATGGTTAAGAAGAATAAAAGTGAAAGCGGTTCAGTTGAAAGAGAAAAAGAAGAAAAATTTGTTCTTTATTTTAGTTGAAAATCGAATCACCAGGTGGTGACTCTGTGAGTTACCGCAAATTCTTAATTCAATTTGATTGTTTGGAGTAAAAATTTTAACAATTTAATTGTGATTAAAGTTTAAATCGTTTTATTTTAATTGATTTCGTCTCAACAGTAGTAATGTTTTTCTATGTGAATTTAAATTATGACCTTGAAGGCTTCTTCTTCTTTCCAGATTAACAATAATCTGTTTATTTTTCTCTTAAAAAATATTCTAAATCCAATATTGTCTATAAATATTCACAATTCTTAATAGTGATTAAGCTTTTTCGACCCTCCAAGTTAATTGTGAATCGGTTTAAATTGATTTCAACTTTTCTTAATTGTTTTTATCTTTTCGCTTCTCGTTTTCATCTTTTGTTCATATTTCCCTCTATCTTTTTCTCTTTCTCTTTCTCTTTCTTTTCTTCTCTGTCTTCTCTTTCTCTTTGTTTTTTTTTATTCTTTTCTCTCTTTCTCTCTCTTTCTTTTTTTCTCCCTCTCTTTTATTCTTCTTCTCTCATTCCACTTTCTCTTTCTCTTTGTCATCGTAGCCATCGCTCCGCTCTTTCATCATCTGTCACTGGTCTTTCTATTTATCTCTCTCTTATTTTGTTTACTCTCTTCTCTTTCTTTTCCATAACATTGAATCTTCCCTCTTCTCCTCGGATTCTGTTTCTGATCCATGTTATTTTCTCATCTTTCTCCACCTTTTCCTGTCTTCTTTTCTCTTTCTTTTTTCTCCTACTGCCTTAAATTTTATTCTCATCTATTTCTCTTCACTGTTCTGGTTTATTATTACTTTTACCATCCGCTGGATTTAACCATTGAATCGGTTTTCTTCATTTTCTGATTCTTCCTCTCCCTCTCTTTCTCATCTTCGTTTCTTCTCTTGTTTTTATTTGCTCCTCTCTCTTCTCCTGACTTAAGGTGTCTTGAGATTTTCATTTGGACGCCTTGTTTATTCTGTTCAAGGGAGAGAGAGAGAGAGAGAGGATATTTGATCTTCTTTTCCACCGTGTGTGTTTGTGTGCTCATCTTTTATTCAATTTCGTGAAAAATGAGTGTTAACGAGTCAATCATGTTCGACCACATTGGAGGTCTGGATCAGCACGTTGCTTCTCTCAAAGAAATGATTCTATTTCCACTCCTTTATCCCGAAGTTTTCGAAAAATATAAAATTAATCCTCCTAGAGGTGTTTTATTCTATGGTCCACCTGGTACGGGTAAAACATTGGTCGCCCGAGCTATTTGTAATGAATGTAGTAATTCTGGTGACCGAAAAGTGGCCTTCTTCATGCGAAAAGGTGCTGACTGCTTATCTAAATGGGTTGGAGAATCAGAGAGACAATTGAGATTATTGTTCGATCAAGCCTACACCAATAGACCGTCCATTATTTTTTTCGATGAAATTGATGGTATCGCACCAGTCCGATCTTCTAATCAAGATCAGATTCATTCTTCCATTGTTTCTACCCTTTTAGCTTTGATGGATGGACTTGATGATCGGGGTCAAGTAATCATTATCGGATCTACCAACAGAATTGATGCCATTGACCCGGCACTTCGTCGTCCTGGTCGATTTGATAGAGAATTTTTCTTTCCCTTACCAGCCTTAGAAGGACGTAAAGAAATAATTAAAGTACATACGAAAGAATGGAATCCACCGTTATCACCACAAATGATTGACGTTTTAGCCGCTCGAACTCCCGGCTACTGTGGTGCCGATCTCAAAGGATTATGTACCGAATCTGCTCTTATAGCTCTTAAGCGTAGATATCCGCAAATTTATACCTCTCGTAATAAACTTTTGCTCAACATTGACGAGGTACAGATAAAACTGAGAGATTTCAATCGTGCCATGAGGAAGATCGTACCAGCATCACAACGATCAATCAATAATTTCGCTCGTCCTTTATGCTTCACCGTAAAACCATTACTTACAGTTTACCTTACATGGTCTATCGATGTTATCAATAGTATTTTTCCAGCGGGTCTTAAAAAGGCTAATGAAAGTGGAAATGATGGAGACTCTGGTGACGTTCCGAGTGATGAAGATGTAGATGAAAATGATCTACTTGGAACACTTAATTGCTCACGAGATGTCAACTTTCGATCTTTAATGTGGAGAGGAAACTATAGACCGAGATTCTTAATCCATGGTCATAGAGATCAAGGTCAATCAACTCATTTGGGTCCTGCAATTCTACATCACTACGAAAAAGTTCATCACTGTAAACTCGACTATTCAACTATATATTCTGTCCATGGTCGAACTCCTGAAGAGTCAATATCAGTTGTTTTCGCTGAAGTGACGAAACGTTTACCATGTATACTTTACATGCCACGAATCGATCATTGGTGGGTTTCCTTACCAGAAACCTTAAGAATCTTTTTAAACTCCATGATTGACGATCTAGAGCCACATCAACCTATTCTTATTTTAGCGACAAGCGATACACCAATATCTGACCTACCAGATGAGATTCAATCTCTTTTTGATAAAAATCGTTACACAACCAAAGTAATGGAAATGTCTAATCCAAGTCGAGAAGAGCGTTTATCTTTTTTCGCTCCTCTCTTTGAGCAATATATTTATCGAGAGCCAGTTAAAGTAGAAGATGCATCTCCCAAAGAAATCTTACCTATCGCACCGCCAACACCACCTCGTCGATTAAGTACCGAAGAATTGGGTAAAATACGTAAACGAGAAGAAGCTACTTTACGCGAATTACGTCTTTTCTTGCGCGAATGTTTGTCTAAATTGATAAGAGACAAAAGATTTCACATGTTCGTCCGACCAGTTGATCTTGAAGAAGTTCCTGATTATCGTCAAGTTGTTAAGAAACCAATGGCGCTAGAAACTATGATGGCCAAAATTGATACTCATAAATATGAAAGTGCTTCTCAATTCATAGATGATGTCGAGCTTATTTGCTATAATGCTCTAGAATATAATCCTGATGCAGATTCGAATGGACGTATGATTCGCCATCGAGCTTGTGCTCTTCGAGATACAGCCAACGCTTTTATCGAAGCGGAAATGGACTCGGACTTTGAACAATTATGTCAAGATGTTTACGAAAGGAGAAAACGTCGAGGTAAATCATTTATCTATGTTTTAATCTAATTTTTTCTTAATTACTCTAATTAATCTAATTTGGCTTTTTTTTTCTCAGGTGAAAGGTCAAGTCTTTTCGCACCACCAAATTATCTGACGGTCTATACACCATCAGCTGTAAGACGATGCGTTGGATCACCAATTCCAGGAGGATCGACGACAAGTTCAAATGTAGCTGATAACAATTATAACTGTGATGAAGACACTGAGGTTGAATCTTTAGATGACTTTTCTGAAGATAAAGTTCAAAGCTCATCTGAGTCAATCTCAAAAGACCACAATTATCGTACCAAAAGGCGTAGTCGTAGAGGTTATCAACACCGATGGAAGAGGCTAAAGGTGAAAGATAAACGTTACAATGGAGTAATTACCAGGAGAATGTGTAATAACAATGATAACAATAAAAAAAGTAGTCCTGATAGTCGAGAGAGTAGCAGGATGAGCACCAGAAGCCAGAACACAAGACGAGGTTCAAGGGAAAGTTATTATGAATCTGCAACTGATCTTGATGATGCATCTGATATGGAGGAGAAAATCGTTCCAAGGTCAAATAGTTACAAAAAATTTAAGAGGTCAAGATCATCATCGAAACAACAATCACCACAACCACTACAACGAACTCCTCCACAGCGTCGATCACCTCAACCGCCACCACCACAACAACCACCTACACCACCACCACAACCTCCTCCTCCTCCACCGCCATCACCACCGCCTCAACAACCACTACCAGATAAAAACTTTACCCCACCAAACACACCACCGCCACTTCAATTAAATATTGATCGTGTACAAGTTTCTCGTATATTTAATCGGGTTGTCGATTCAACCAAAAATTGTTCCGTTGAACAATTAGAAGAAGTTTATTCTTGTCTTTTCCGTGTAATGAACCGTCGTCTAAATGATTGGAATCGAGCAAACATGATTAAGGTAAGATTTATATTTTATTGTATTTACATCTAATTTATTGATACAATTTATTTACGAACAAAATATTAATTGATTTTTTTTTCTCTCTTATCAGGAGTTAAATGAAGAAGTGGATACATTTGAACGTCATAGGAGATTCACATGACAATCAAACGAATTAGATTTTAATGAAAGCTAATTAAGCTTTCAAAATGGGCAACAAGAATTAACCAATTGTTAATTTCTTGACCATTTGACGTTTTCTTTGCTCAAATCAATATCATGTTCCTGATTGAATTGTCATCATTCTATACAAAATTCAACTCTGAATTTATGATGAGCTTTCTGTCTCCCTGCCAAATGAACATTTTCTTGATAAGATATCAAAAAGTTACCATGATTATCTGTCAACCAACACTGCCTATCAAATGATAATGATTAAAAAGAAACAAGAAAACAATCAAGATTATTGACCAGAGAGGATTAACAGCTATCAACAACAAAGCAAAGAATTAGAGAGAAAACCAATCTTAAAGCAGAAAATTCTCAATTACAATTGAATGTGTTCAACATATAAATAGATTCATCTATTCATCAATACTTATATGAATATATTAATTGGTCAATTAATAACATTATATACATATTATTATTTATTTATTTTGTAATCAATCGATTTATAATCTTATCTTGTAAATTAAGATTCTCAATTTTAGTTGCATCTAATCTCGTCAATTTAAGGATTTTCCGTCAACTAAAAAGAAATTGAGAAATTTAATAAGCTATCAAGCCAATCAAGTAATTGCTGACCAATTTGATTGGATTAACAAGCTGATTAACATCAACTCTCCCAAATGGAAAAAACAATCGCTTAATTATTTGTACCATTATCGTTGTATTGATCAAACATTGTAATCGAGCTAATTGTGATTTTGATACTGATGATACAAAATGAATTTATCAGTAACAAAGCAAAAGATAATTAAGAAGCAATTAAGTTGGATCAAGATGCTATCATTTTTCCTCTTTCTTGTCAGTATTTCAAATATTTATATTTATCTCATTTGTATCATCAGTATCATCATCAACATTGCTATCAAGTTAATTATCATTTTCTCCATTTTTTTTATATCTTATCACCATTAATGTTCAGGTCAATTTTTTCTTCTTTCATTAGAGTTGAAATTTTGTCCAAAGTAATTGAATCTTTGCTTATTGAAGATAGGCTGTAAATCCTATTGTAAAAATGTTTCCTCTCTTCGAGATCAAATTTGTTTCTATAAAATTGTACTAATGATAAACAGGCTTTGATATTTTCTTTAGCTAAATTGTGAAAAATTAGAGCTCGAATTGCTTGTTTATCATCTTTTCCACCATAATTTAATCTGGAAATTAATTTCTTTCCCATTTCAGGGTAACCAGAGATGATGAAACGATTAGCACAATTACGAATTATATTGTTTCTGTCAAAATTTTGATTAACTAAATTGATCAGTTTATCAACTTGAGGAAACAATTGTTTCTCAATGAGAACATCAATCAGATTGTTTTGACCTGGTGTTTTCTTGTAAGTCCGAATACAATTAGTAAATTCATCAAGGGCACCAGTTAAATCATCACAATAAAGATGAATTGTAACTCTGGGTCGAAGGGACTTATTGTTAGGGTTAACATTACCAACAGTTAGAAATGAATTGGACAAATCTTTTATCAATTTAACATCTTTGGTTAATTTTCCAATGGTTTCCAAAAAATCACGAACTAAAGTGTCGGTGGCATTAGATATTAATGATTTATTTGAGTTCTTCCCATAACTTGGTTTGTAGATTTCACCTAAAACCATATCGATTGATTCACTTAATTGTCCATTTTCAGCCATTTTAATTGCCAGTTGAAGTAGTTTACTTAAATCAATTGTAAACGAATCAGGAATCAATGATTTATAATGAAGAGCTTTATCGAGATCATTGTTAATCGCAAAGAAGGCCATTAAAACGGAGGCCATTGCTGGTGTAATATCTTCACCACTATCGTTAAGTTTTTCCAACAATTGATTAACCCTTTCCTTTAAAACAAGATTAGGACCGATTGTTGGTTGATTATTCCCAGAACAATAATTGAGAATTAATTTCCTTATGATCCCTCGTGTTTTAGGATTACCCGTTGACTCCAACAATTTAAGGTGAGTTTCATATGTTTCAATTGGTGAACATGAAGCTGATGAATAAAAGTACAAAGCGTTCTGTTCATTTGTGAATCTCGTTTTGTGGTCAATTAATTTAGCAATTAACGGAAATAAAGATGAACCATCATACGTTGAGAGTAACAATTCACCAGCGACCGGAGTTATTAACAGTGAATGTTTTTTCATCATCTTACAAAGTGCTGCTAATTTATCACGATCATCATCCGAATCAGTTGTGACTCCAGTAAAATTGATCAACAGGAAAGAATTAAAAACAAATTGATTAAGTGATCGAGCACCAAGACTTTTCACAACATGAGCCGATTTATCAATACCATTGATTAGAATATACAAAACCAGGTAAGGCACCAATTTATAGTCAATACGAAAGTTATAATCAGAATAAAGTAATTGATTTACTCGGGACAAATCAGAGATCGACAAACTGTAAGCAATACAAGTATTGAGTAAGAAATTAGGTGTTAATCCAATGACAATACATCGGGCGAAAAATTCCTCATAATTAGTATCGATTTTAGACCAAATTAAATCAGCAAACAATTGAAAAGTACTTTCTGGATGAAGGAGACTCAATGGTTTCAAATCGTTTTCCAATATTGTAAACATTTCGGAGCAATTAGAGGTTTTTACAATTAGTGGTGCATATAAATGAGGACGAATCATATCCTGATCTTTAATCAACTGATTAAGATAATCTTTGGCTTGATCATAAGGCAAATAGTTGAGAGCAGCTTCAGTTGATTGTGATAAACCAAATTTATTGATTCCTTTTTGTTTCCATTGTGAACAGATATTCATTATAACATTTGCATCAACATTACATTTGACCATCACTTTTAACAATTCACCTCCATAATTGGATAAATGTTTAACTTTATCAGGAACTTCAAGAAAAGCAAGACCAGTTAAAGCCTCGCGAACACGATTAGCTTCAACTAACTTAATCAATCGTAATAAACTAGTCATAAGTAATTAACAGAAACAAAAGTCAACACTAAACAAAGAAACAAAAAAGGTAATTAAATTGTGGAGATGAGAAAACTTTACACAAAAATAGAACCAATTAGAAACTATTGGTTACTTATTGTTATTTTCTAATAAATAAATAGAGAGATAATTTAAAAGGAATCTAACAAAATACGAAAAAAAACTTAACAACAATTAACTTTTGTGATGTAAACAACAAAAAATTATTTCGTCATCAGCTGATAAACAGTTTGTTAAATTTACCGCGTTCGTGAAAATAGACAACAAAGTGACTATTTTCAGAGAAAACAAATCAAAACAAATTAACAATTTGTTTTAACTAATCAACAATTAACTCTCATCATAACAGTTTAAACTTTGTGAAAAATTAATAAACAGCAACTCTACTCATCAACTTACAATGAAAATGAATCTATTAATAAATATTTTGTGATTGAATCTTTGATTTTGTGCTTACATTTATAAAAACACAATTTGAGTGATAATTAAATTGTTACTTCATTAATAAGTTAAATATACAGTAATACTATTGTATAAATAAATAATAAGAGGAATTGTTTTTCATTGTTGTTAGTTGATCTGTGTCAATGGGAAAAACAAAAGTTTATGAGAAAGATTCATAACAATAATAATCACCCTGAAGGATTATAATAATTATATTGACAATAATTATCATCAGATAAGTTGAACAATAAAAGTAACCGATAAATCAAATTACCTTAAATCAAGGACAAGAAAAAAAGCCAAAAAAAGGAGTGAAAAAGAAAATTAGAAATCAGATTAATCCATTGGATCAACAATCAAAACCACAAACAAATACTCAGATGTAAACACAAGCTCCTTGTAATTAAAATGCTCAATCAAAATCAAAGATCTTGATCCAATAATTGTTTCCCAATAACCTTGTAACCTCAAAGAGATGAATTGAGAATCATTATTATTATTGATATGACCAATCATCGATTCCAATAATAGAGTAAGTATATACAGTATATCGAGTAATAAATCATGAAAGATATGGAATACAGAGAAAGAGAGAGACCAAAAATACTCCATAGGTAAAAATCAGTAAAATCTGATTCTTTTACCCTGAGGCAAAATTTTCCTCACTCAGATTTCCACACAGTAAAAAAAAGGAAGCAAAAAAAAAAGGATATTCAATATAATGATGTTGATAATATTCAGGGAATAGTATATTATATACATTATATGAATATTATCATTATCACTTGGTTAATAATAAACTGCAGGTAGAAATCTGAAAGAGCTCATTAATTACCTGAACGAAAGCTCATTCATCAATTCGGGTATTAAATTGTATCATATTATCATAATCATCATTTTCGTTGACCAAAAATACTCGTAAATTGAAAGTAACGGTAAATAAATAACTCTCTCTCTCTCTCTCTCTCTCATAATTATTACATGTAATCACCATTCTTATCATCATGAAAATCTGAAAATAAGATGAATTCTATTGTTAGAACTTTCTGTTTTCTATCCTCTTTATATCTTAACGTGGGAGTTAAAACTCCCAAGGATACATACATCGATCTCCAAAGAAAGACCAAAATAGTAAGTTGGACATTTCGACTGTCGTGATAATGATGATGGATGAACGAGACACTATCACCATCATTAAGTTGATTAACTTTTTTTCCTCAAATTAACTTAGCCCAGAATTTAAATTCCCTCAGGGTAAAGGTAACATAAGAATATTAGTAGAGAAGCAAAAAAAACACAAGAGAGAAAAAAATTTCAATCTCTTTTTTAATATTATTCATTTCATCTTAAAATTTTCACAACAAAAACGTCTCAACAATCAATACATTTAAATCTAATTAAAATACTAAGACATTGATAATTAAATTAATCTAACGAAGAAAAGAATAAACAAAACTCCAACTTTCTTGTTCGAAACTTTTTTCTCTTCCCAAGAAAAGAAAATAACAAAAAATTCTCATTCAAAGCTCTGGAAAAACATTGTTACCTTTATGGTGATTTAATTTGCTGCCTAATGAGATTCAACCACCGCTGTATAATCAATACAATTAGAGTAAATTGTTATTCTGATACAATCATGCAAACATCATTAATCAACTGTCAAATTGTGATGATGATTAACCTCAACGATTGACACAACATTGATGCTCTTGGTTAAGTGTAACATTTAACTTACGATTTTTTTTCCCTTTCCACCCAAAGGTTGGTGGTTTTCACTGATTCTCATGATCACAATGAACAATATTTATAATAATAATATGATTTAAGTTTGTTCTGATAATATGGAAAAAAAATCGAAGCAATTTCACGCATCAATAATATTCTGTTCAACTAATATCATGAAGAATCAGCATTATCATGAGGAAGAGAAAAAAAATTTTCCTTTTTCTTTTCTGTTACATTTTCTTCATTCAATGTCTCTCTTGCTCTCCCTCCCTCTCTCCTTTTGTTATTACTATCATTCTGTTATATATATATAACTTGTTACCTTGCTATTTTTTACCTTGGTGACTTGAAAATTCATTTCCATCATGAAATTCCGATTCCAAATCATATTTTCAGGTATCACAAAGTTTCATATCTACCTCATTATCTGACTGAACAAGGATGATGATCATCATTAGCAATTGATTCTGATTTACATTGATCATTTAAATTTAGATTATATCACAATTAACATAAGAAGTTAATTAAATTGAGACTTGTTAATGTTATTGTTATCAGAGAGTAATTAACATTATCTTGTAATGATAATTTATTATCATGAAAAAACTAATTAACCGTCAAAATAGCCTTAAGGGTTGATACGATTATCGTATTGGTGTAAACTTATATTGTTAAGGAATGATAAGAAACAATAAATTAACCTAATTAATTAGCCTGAATAATGAGCAATCTGACAGAAACAGACTAATTAATTTAGATTAAATTAACAACTAAACAATTTTTTTACTATTACACCAGACAATAATTAGCATTGTCATTCATCCGATTAGTATGATAATTATGATTTGAAATCAATCCCTAAACCATCATGATCATAATCAAGTTTACCTTGCAAGTTAATTAACCAAACGGTTTAAATTGAGTCTCGTAAACAATTAACCAAATGATTAAAATCATATTACCGGTTAAATTTGCTTCCAATCATATGAATATCACCAATATTTTAATGGATTCATCTTTCATGGTAATGATTCATATTGAGCATCTCAGCTCCATGGTAATTATTTCAGTTCCGTTAAAACACCAAATTGAATGTTGTTAGTTTATCATAAATAATTGTTACACCAGGTAAGAAGATGTTGCCAATTTAATTTCATTGATTAAAAACCAATTACTATTATTATCATCATGAAATATGAAAAAAAAAGTTCCAATGATGAGACAAAGAAAAATTGATTTGATATTTATAACTATTGAAAATGTTCAATGTAATATGTTGATTCCCTGTGGGTATTAACCGGTATTATCCAAAAAATATATTAGAATATATCACTAACGATGATTAAAATTGATTGTATTAGCAATGTTCAATTCAGTTGACAACAACAATCATCTTGATGATAATCATTATATTGATGAAAAGGTGTTTTTATTATTTGTTATACTTTTCAATGAGATATAATGATTACATTGGATCAAGAAACAAAATATAATTCATCGTATTAAATTGTTGTGACTCGGTTGATTGTTGATATTAATTGAGTAGAAATGAAAAACAATCATGATAATATCATGAAAGGATATCTAATGGTCAGATAAAAATCGTTCAATGATATATGAAAAAGTAATAAATTTTACCTGATGATGAAAATCATTTTCTGATCATCTTTTATGTTTCATGATAAATTATTTATTTATGTGTATTTGTTTTAACCCATACACTTTGGTGATTATTATCAACATCGTCATCATGATAATCATAACGATAAAAACATCTCAACCTGAGTAAGACATAAAATGAATTGGAAACAACAAGAAATTATTGTCTTGATGATTCTGATTAATGGCGATAATAAGTGTAAATGTGAAATGATCATCGTCTTAAATTTAGCGCAATGAGGATGATTAAAAATGATGATTAGCAGAAGATGAGGTTGATATTGGCTTAACCTGGTTAATACCTGGTTAATAAGCAGAAATAATAATAACCTTTATCTGTTTCTAGACTATTGTGTCTCTCTATTGTTTACCTGAGTATAAGTACAATATGATATTTTCATTATAAGATATAAATTGTTGAGGTGTATGTACTTATCATTAGGGTGGGTGATGATGATTGTTGTGTTGATGTTGGGAAAGAGTGATGATGGTAAGAAGAATGAGCAAAAAGAAAGATAAATTGGAAGACAGAAGATGAGATGGCAATGATTATCCAGTTTTCTTTTTCGTTCTCGTGACATGGTTAACCCGAGCTCTTAATCATGGTTATTTCTCATAGGAGCGAATGAATGAATGTAGAAGAAGAAGAAGAAGAAGAAGAAGAAGAGAGAGAGAGAGAGAGAGAGAGCTGATGGTGATGATGATGAGTGGGGATGTTGAGCTCATGAAGAAAAACTTATCTTCTTGTTCCAAGAATTTTATTCAATATCCAAAAGCATCGAAAACATTTACCGTTACTTTTATTCTGCAACTTTTTTTTCTTCTTTCTATCTTCCTATTTATCTTCCGTGTCAACTCATTAAATTTGCTTCATTAATCAGGTTATTAGAGGTAATCCAATCAATCAATCAACTCTGTCTTGTTGGTTTCAACAACAATCACTAACAGACAGAGTTTATTGATCAATTATCAACAAAAACCCACAAAGTTGCAAAAAAAATGTTAATCATCATAATTAAAAGTGAAAATATAATCATACTGATGTATTAATAATTGATCAGCTTATAAGATCTCTGTTTTTAATCACATTTTTCTTGTCTTAATCACTTTTGAAATCACTTCGCAATCATTTAACAACTCATAGCTTGTGATCAACAATTAAAATATTCTTCCATTAATATCCCGATTAGAAATGACAGTTTACCAATTGTCAAAAAAAGCGTTTTATTCACAACAATCTCGGACAATCAAGTTAATCATTAGCAATCATTAATGAGCATTAGAATTTCAAATTCTCCAACTCGAACTTGAGCTCGAACTTGAAGTTCTAAATTTAGTTATAAACTGCTAACAAGAATCAAAGGAATTGAAAAAATCGAGAGATAAAAAAGTTTGAAGTTTTTTTTCTTCAAATTGTAACAATTTAATTTAATTTAATTTCTGTTCTCTTTCATATTTTTACAATTTAAATTTGTTGTTGGTAAATTTAATTTAATTACTTTGTTTAAGCTTTTACATTTATTAATATACTTTTTATAATTAGTGTTTTTTTCTGGTAAATTAAATTAAATTTCATCATTGAATTAAACCCGAAGGCAACAAAACATTTAATAATTAATATATTGAAAATAATATAATATTTATAATAATGATAATTAATTGTTATAAATTATAATCATTTGGATATAATTAATTGATAAAATTTTTGACCCTTTCCTGTGTAAATTTATATTAGATCATATAACTGAATTTTAATTGTAATTTAAAGTATTGATAGTTAATTGATTAAGTTTTTTTTTTCCTATGAGTTTTCAAGAGTTAATTGTAAATCAAATTGTTAATTGTTACAAATCATTGTTACTCAGCTTAATATTAGATTTATCAACAATTAGTAATTGTATTAATATTTCGGGCTTATCAGAGTTAATTGTTTACCAAATGATAACAATATTATTAATTAATAACAATCTATTGAATGGTATATACATATTTATATAGTTAATTGTTAGCAATATAATAATTGATTGTATTTACATTTATTTAATATAATTAAAGAGTATATGTTTTGCCATTGTTAACTCAGTCCATTTGGTGAGTAATTAACTTTAATCATCTGATAATATATCAAATAATTAGAAATGAATACCCATTGATATGAGAGAATGAGATAAATGTATTAGATTAGTTGATTAATTTTTAGATGATTAACCTTGTATTCGCAATGATTAAGGATTGTGTCGATTCCCAAATGGTGAATTAAACTGATTATCATTCCCATTCAAAGTCCCTATTGTTAATTGTTGCTGGTCAGTTGATCCAATAATTTATCAGGTAACATCTCATTTGTTTCATGGTCAATGTTGGTTGAATTTGATTCGATTGATTAATTGTTAATTAAAATACTTTATCCACAAAATTTGTACACAATCTATTTCCCCAAGAAATGTTGCTAAAAGAAATAAAGAATCAAATAAATTGGATTAATAATAATAATTTGATTTCGTTGAGAAAATTTTTTTTCTCAATTCATGAGCTTTCAGTTGATCTAATATCTTTCATGATAGATTGTCAAGTTCATCATATAAGATTATCATTTTGTATATTATTGTAATGTTATGATATTGTTATACTTGTCAGTTGATTTGTCAAAAATATTATCATGAAGCCTGAATAAACTTCAATATCAGGAAAATTTTCTGATAAACAATTGCAACTTATCATGCAAAGATTTTCCATCATGATAATGGTCACAAGTGAAACTGGTCAGAATTCATGATCATTATTGTTTTTCTCTGTGAATATTTTACCATTTAAAACTTTTCTAGAATCATTTTTATTATTCTAATAATAACATTAGAATAACAAACTTATCATGGGGATTAAGGTTTTCCACAATTCCATTGTTATGTAAATCTTTCTTTCCAGTCGTTTTCTCTATGATTATTATCAAAACTAATGTGGTTAATAAGGTAAATTGTTATCATTATCATGGTAATGATAATGAGCTTTTTTTATCAGATGAATTATTTATTCATCAATTTTTATCAACTAATCAGTTAATCAGCTTGAAATTTTGTTCCTTTTTCTCGTATTTCCTAAATCCAATTTCGGGTTCACATTTAGAGGTTACTTTTTCATAATTATCTGGATAAATTTCATGAGAGAGAGAGAGACAAATGAAAGTAAACTAATCTTGTAATCATATTTAATCACAATCATTATAAGCTGAGTAAGTCCAGAGTTATTCATGGGAATGTTAACTTTCATGGTTGAAGGTTTAAAACGAAACAATTTTTATAACAATAATCACAAAGTTCAGTTGATAATCAAGAATAGGAATTAATTTAATCGCTCACCATTCCAGTTCCCAATGAATTTAACAGTTTCTCTGATTTAGTTGGTGTTTTTGCTTTTTTAAGACCCACTTTGGTTAGTAATTTATTTGAAGTTTTTCCAGGCGATGATCCAAAGAGACTTGGCGAGGGTGCCGATCCAAAAATGGCCGCAACCGACGATCGACGACCTTTGGTTGGCGAAATCATTGGAACCGGATTAAAATCAATCTTTAATTGAGACGTTTTTGATTCCTAAAGAGGTGAAGTATTTAAAAGATGAAAAAAATGAACGAAAACAGTTATTAATATATTAATAATATGCTAATCAACATAGATAATTATAATTAATGATATAAGTAATTAATGACTTTCACCATCACATTAATTGTTGATCATTTTTTGCTCAATTCTAAGCCAAATCACTTCATATTCAAAATGTATTACAATTACGATATGATTGATAATCATTTATATTTAATCATGATAATGATTAGACTTTGGTGTCTGTGAAAATGTAAAATAAAAGTTTCTTCCTGAAAATCAATTAATTAATTTGATTTTGTTGTTGATTTAATTGGCTTAATCATGTTGCCACCCAAATTAATAATAGTAATACTTAATAATAATAATAAATGATCAGTGATTTAGTTTCAAGTGATTGTTTTTCCTCAGAAAAAAACACCTCATAATTAATCATCGATATTTAATTAAGCTTTCAAGATGCGAAAACTTGATTAACCTTTTGCCTCTTTTACATTACCATCATCTTCTTGATTATGATTTAATTAGGCTAAACAATGACGATCATATTACTGAGTTTTACTTGATTTAGATAATTATCATAATTGTAATCAAAAAGTGTGATGATTAAAAGCATAAAAGTTAATTAATTAATGACAACAGAATAATTTGGATTTCTATTTGATTCAAATTTTTCAGTCTATTAAAGATCATCAATTTTGATTCTCATTTTCAATCAGTAACCAGATTAATCATTAGGACTTTTCTAATTTCATAATTAACTTACCAATGAATCAACGGCTGAACAAAGCATATCATCGGCTGCTCTTGATATTTTATTAGCCACTCGCTTGATATCATGAGGGTTAATTGATGAATGTCGCCGCCGATGGAATTGTTGTAAGTCTTGTAAATTGATTGATGAATGGCGACGTTGATTAAGATTAGTAATCTCGGTTGGATTAATTGATGAATGGCGGCGAGAGGTTAAATTAGACGTAGAATTGACTCGAGCTATACTTCGATTTTCGGCCGTGGTGGGTGAGGAAAGGGCGATCTCAATTCTGGGAATATTAATAGCGTTATCTGAGTGCCGGCGACCCTTCAAATTGGAACCAGGTAAACCCAATAAATTTGCGTTCTCAGGTGATGATGGATCTGAACAGGAAACATCGTCAACTGATATTGACTGACGACGTGACTCTAATTTTAATGTTGGAGGACGTTGAGGATACAATGGATTATTGGGTTGATTAAAGTTAATCTCAATGGGAACTCTGAAAATAGAAAAGAAAAAGACAAACAATTAACTCAATTAATTGAAAGGATTTATTTTGGTTAATTGTTGATCGATTCCGTTAGGAAGAGGGGTTGACAAGGGTACACAGGGAAATAGCTTGAGCTAATCACAAGATAACACTAGTCAGGTTGTTGGTCGTTAAGACCTGGATTAATTATTTCACGGAGTGATGATAATTAAGGTTGGTTAATTAATTAATTAACCTCAGAAGATTGCAGAGTAGCCTTTCGCGTATCTACTCATACAAGTTCGTACAGGATTGATGAAAACCCTTGTAGTTATCTACAAAATTACGTAGAAGTACCAGAGGTAAGAAAGTCGAGAGACTTGTTTAATTGTTATAACAATTAAGACTTAGACACGATAGTGAACTTAATTGAAATTAACTTTATTAAAAAGGGGGAGACAAAATTTAATTGAAAGAACTTGATTAATTAGCAAGTTAATTGTTCAATAATAATTTTCATCTAAAGATGATTAAGACGTTAATCAGTATTTATACTGAATTAAAATGGGGATATAAACAAAGTAATTTGGGGGAAACACTAATCTGGTTAGAACCAACTTTTTCATATAAAAATGGAGTCATTTTAACCGTTTTGGTCACTTATTAAAAGTGTTACCAAGTGGTGACTTATCAGTTATCTCCATAGAGATAAGATTAATTGTTTCTAAAATGAATCATTGTTTAAATGTTGTTCATAATCATTTTGATTGTTTCTAGACAATCAAATTAACTGATTAAATTTGGATTACAATGATAAGAAAATAAAATGATAAAATGTATTCTTAAGAATAAATGAAATTTGAATCAAGAATAGAGAGTCAGGATTTCTACCTTACATTTCCCTGATTTTTGATTAAGATACTCTTTATAATTGAGTAAAATTAAAATGTTATTTTTGAATTTTTTATTCTTCCTTATCCTTGGAATCCTTTGGTTCTTGGGTGGAAGGTTCTTCTTCTTCTTTCTCTTGAGAGATTTTTTCTAATTCAGTTTCCAATTCCGATGGATCGTAATCCGGGGTAAAGTCCATATCACCTAATAGGGCTTGAATTTCATCTTCATGAATATCATCCAGGGTGAATTGTTCAGGACTCATACTGAATTCATTGTTTTCGGGTTCCATTGTTGGTGAATCATTTATTTTGAGTTGATCCAAATTAATTGGAGAAATGTCAACTTGAGATGATTCATTTTCCCGCTTGTGTTCTTCACTCTCAATTAGTTCATCTACTAATTGAATTACTTCCGGGGTGGTATCACAAGTTTCTTTGGAAGTGGTAACAGTTTCTTCATTAAAATCAATTAATGGAATTTCAGGGGAAGATACATTTGGAACTTCATTTGTTTCCATTTCGGAATCTGAAAGTTCTTTTCCACAAATGATTGTATCTTCCGAATCAGTCGAATTTTCTTTTTCTTTTTCTTTTTCTTGGGTTTCGCGCACTAACATAACATTCATAGATGTTTCAGTAAGTGTCGAAGATTCTGAACTACTTGAGGATAAATCAAACATTATATCTCCGGGAAGTTCTCTTCCTCCACGGAAATAAACCCAATTCTCCGGCCATTTAACCTCACCTTGTCTAACTCGGTATCCGTAAAGCTTTAAAAGCTTTAACACTTTTTTGTTATTACCGGTTAGTTTGGAATTTAAATGATGAATTCCATTTTTGATTCGTGTACATAATCGTTCAATTGGTTCCCAATGAGCCATGTAGAGTTGCATAGAAACAAGAGCTTCTATGGCTGGGGAGTGAGCCGATTTTGGAATCGTATATCCTTTAAAAAGGAGAAATGAAATTAATCCCAAATTGGTAGGTTGAGCACTGTAAGGGGAGAAATAATAAGTTAAGTCTCTAGACTTGGGGAGAAGATAATCAATTTCCCATTCATGGAAGTCTAGAGCTTTATAAAAATTGATTAGTCCAGCACCAACTATAATCTCAGCGGTGACTAGATATTGGATAACTTGATCTCTTATCGAGAAGAACGTTTTGGCGTATTTGAGGTCATCACGGGTGAGTCCATGCCAACAAGTATCCATTCGGTCAATTCCAGAATGTTTGACAAACGTTTCATAAACGACATTTTGATTACCATCGACAATGATAATCCAGACTGGTCGAGGATAAAGAACTCGATTACCAGCTCGATTTGGTCCATAGAATCGACAACAAGCCATATTGACCGAAAAAGCCAATAGAGGGTTAGGATGTCTCTTGGTATTTTCACGGATTATATCCATGAATTCATTATCGAGAGGGGGCATGTCGATAGCTGATTTTCTTTCAAAATGATCTGCGGCAACTTTTAATCGATTTTGCCGGGTGATGTCTCTTTGAGTTACTTGAGAGCCTTTAGGCTTTGGTGTTGGTTCACTCAAAGTTTTGAAGCCACGGAAAGAGGTACCGAACCATTGTTTAATGTTCGAGAGAACAAATTTTTGTTTCTCTGGGGTTAACCTCATTATCGGATCAATTCGGTAATATGGGGTATCCATTGACTCAATATCACTAGCGATGCTTACATTTGATGAGTAATGAGAAGGTCGATTTTTTCCATTTGAAAGTCGAAGCCATTCTTCTGATTGTTCGATTAAATAATTTGGAATCCGATTCCATTGGATGGTGGGTGGTCGGATAAATTGGCCTGATTTTTTTCGAGATCCTATGACGGGTTTGAGCCCAGCATTTTGAAGAAATTCTTCCGCTTCATAAATTGGAGCACTGGGGTCATTAAATCTCTTATAAGAGGACCAATAATTTGTTCCAAAATTGGTGTGAGTCCTAATAGCATTTGGAGCACACAAGGGATCATCCGGATAATTTTCCGTTTGATGAGCCATACAAGCCAAAAGTTCTAGCTTAGGTTCAAAGCGTTCCTCTTGATTTTTGGGAGGTAACGGAGTGGCAGTTTTCACATGATGTGGGATTAAATCGGCAACTCGTCTTGGTACCATAGCTATAGCTTGTCTTTTTGGACCTATTTTGAATGGAGGTCGTTCCGGGATATCAACCAACTCTTCCATTAATCCTAATCGACAATTTTTCTCATGTTTAGAGAAGTCGGAAGGTAGGAAAATTTTATTACAATGAGATCGTCTACATTTAAATTGAGCTTGGTTGTAGATCGCGATAGCGATGTTGTCTTTTAGCTCTCCAAAGGTTGGGTAATCGTCACGATTACAAAAAGTAGCGATACATGGAGGGTTAATACAAGGAAATTTGTCCTCAGCTCCTAAAGGAGTTAAATTGAGAGTACTAATAATGTTTTGTATCCACTTGATACAATTTTTACAATACCAAAGGTGACAACCTTGGCATGATTTTGGATCAATGCAAATGTGTTCACACAAGGTGCATCTAATTGTTTCAATTACCTTTTCAATCTCAGCTAAGATACAATGAGATCTTGGCATTCCTCTAGGAATGTCAGGTAGAGAGACTTCATAAATTTCAGGTATTTGAATGAAATTCAAATAAAGTTTTTCTCTTATGAGATTGTGGTAAGTTCTTTTTCTTTCATAAAAGATAGCAGCTTTTACCTCAATTGATTTTTTCACTTCGACATAATGTTCTTCCGAGAGATAATAAGGTAATTGTTTCACAGGAGCTGGAGCGGGATACTCATTTTTGTCCCATAGATAATCATCGGGTCCTGGATATTTTTTATTTACCTTCACGGTTTCTTGAGGAGGTGAATTAAATCTTGAGATTTTTTGTGGTCGTGGCTTGACACTTTCTTTTTGTTTTCTTGAAGATGATGAAGAAGAAGAAGCCACTGATTTTTCAGAGTTCGCTGGTTCCAGAATCACAGTAATACTGTCACATGAACTTGAATTACTTTTATTGAAGCTGATCTTTTCCATAAAGATGATTTCGTCGAACCTTGTTAAGAGAAACAGTTTCGGTAACAGGTGAAGCTAATTTCTTTTTAGAGAAATTATCTTTTATTTCACTTTCAGTTGTTGAGATAACTGAACAGAGAGATGATGAAAGATGTTGACCTGAAGTTGAAGGTACACACAATTCTTCATTGGTAGAAGGTACACAAACTAAAGATTTTACTCTTCTAGGAGTACTCATGATGATGATTATTAATCTTTTAAAAAGATTCACTAAAATAATCAATTGGAGATTTTTGAAACAAATTAATTTTCTTAGAAGGAAATTAAAATAATTAAGTGTCACGAATGATTGCTCAAAAGAAACTGACTTTTTCTTTTGTTCCCTTTGACCATTTAATATATGGTTGATTAAAGGGGGAAGAATCAAAGGGGTATCGTCACTAATAGGTGAGATAAGAACATAAAAAGAATAAGCTTGAGAATCTTTAATTAGTTCTTGACGCCTTTGTCTAGTTAACACTTGATTAGAGTTGACCGATGATAATAAATTTTGTTTGTTACTTATTATCTCTTTATCGGCAGTTAATTTTTTGTTTAATTTAATTGGATTAAAATCAACATTTACTTTTGATTTTAACTCTTCTTCATCGAATTTATCTTGAGATAATTTATCTTTTGATTTGCTTTTTAGAATATCAAAATCATCTTCATCTTTTTGATTATTTTCTGACTCATTTTCTTTTTCATGATCAGATTCATAATCTGGTTCATCCCTGATTTTATGCTTAATTTCCACTGGGAAAGATTCTGGTTCAAGCCAATGTGAAGAATCAACGTCGAAATATTCAGATTTGATTCTGAGCAATTTATTTGACAATTCACCTTTGTAAGGTTTTGTATTGCTAACATTAACTTTGAAACAATCAAAATCTTCTGGATCCATAAGTAACAATGCACCTTTATAATTGGAAATTACCAAAAAAGGTCCTTGATATTTGGGTCTCAACTTTTTGCTAATTTCTGCATTTGTGGAAACATCTTTGAGCCAAACGAAATCGCCAGGGGAATAAGGTGAAGGTTTAGAAATTTCTCTAATTCGATGAATTTGGTAATTTTGTTGAGC